TATATATATATATATATATATATATATATATAATGTGTATGTGTGTGTGTATGTGTATACTGGTGCATTATTAAGATATTATTAAGGTAACGAGAAGTTTTTATACATATGTTATCTCAGACATATGTACATATATACACACGTATGTACCGACATGTACGTATGCACGCGTTCACTCAATGGAACATCCATACGTCGACGTGTTGCGACGCGTGACCTTACCGTAATTTGTTACTTAAAAACTACGCTTTGGAAGAATGAAGCTTAAACTGCGCTACTTTCATCGCACATCGTTCGTAGATTAATTTAGTACATCGTAATACCCGTCATCCTCCTGTCAAATCTCGAGTGAGTATTTCTCTACAAACAAATGTCGTGCCACCTGACGACCCTTGTGTCTCGGAATACAGACGGACGGAGTGCGGAAACGTCACGTGTGCGGGAGCGACGGCGAACGACACCGGACGTGACGCAGGAGAAATCGATCTCTCTCTTTCCAAAATGGAACAGTTTGTAATCGGAAGCACAAATCTGTCGCGCCCATCACACCCGCGCGCTTCGCCTCATGCGCTGTTACAAAGTGTCCGACGCGCGGGATTAGAACTACGCACGAAGAAGAAGGAGCGGTCGTCGTGTCATTAAGACCACGCTTCCAAGGCGGCGATTGCGCTTTTTCTTCTCCTCCGTAGGATATGGGAGGACCTTTACCGTTCGTTCTGCCGAGAGAAGACTCGGGGAGAGAGGGGAGAAGGAATCGTAAAGGTCGCTCCAGGATCGAACGTCGCTCTCTCAGGGCTTTCTCTCGGAGCTGGAGATACGTCTGGTCAGCTGTTGGTGAATAGCCGCGTCGTTCTGATCCTTGGACGGCATGTTGCAGTCGTTCGCGGTCGTGGCCGCGCACGGCTGGCCGTGGGAAGTCGGCGAGATGCCTTTGATCACCCCACGGAGGAACATCGCGCAGCACATCCATGGGACCAACCTGCGGCCAACGATGCTCTCATTAGTGGATTCTCGCGCGAATTCGATCGAGCCGATCGCGCGGCAGACTTACCACTTGAAGATCAACAGGAGCTGCAGGTATCCCGGTATTATGAGGAACTTGTAGTTGCACCTCATCGCCGTTATGATCTGATCGGCCACGTCGTTTGAGCTCAGAATCGGGACATAACTATATGGCAATCATTCTCGATTTAATCGCGATTTCAGCGCGAACAAAGGATCGCGGGAATCAGTCAACACGTTCGGCCCGATTCGGATTACGTGAACACAGAGAAAAATATGCGTAGCGCATAAAGTTGAAAGTCGCATAAATAATTCGAGTTATATATGACAGAATTGTAATGGCTAATTATATATGACAGAATCGCAATGGGTAATTATAAGTTTCGACTTGATACGTGAAAAGCTACAAATGAAAAATAATAAGTTTCGATCTAGGGAGTGGTATAGCGTACATGATGCAATCGCACAGTGAATTTTCCGAGTTGAATTACTCACACATATAAGCAAAAATGTATAATATTATATATTATATTTTATCCCATACAGCACATTTTATCCGAAAGATGTCTTCTGGACGTCTTTAGGACGTTCCATAGATGTCTGTGCTATATGAGATCAATGTCTGAACATGTACTCAACTCTGAATATTCTTGTTGTTTTGACCTCTGAATATTCAAATTTTCAAGATAGAATATATTTACACACACATGTTGAATACATACAAATAGTTTATGTATAAAGATTAAACACGTTCGTATTTGAAGGCCAAAACACAAGAGTGTCCATAGTTAGGTACGTGTCCGGGCAGTAGTGCTTTTACCCGCGCACCAAGTGTCTCGTACCTGGATTGGACGTCGTCGAACAGGCCGGTGCTGCGAATGAAGTAAGGGCACACAACCGTGGTGTTGATGTCGTAGCCCTCGTCCTGCAGCAGAAGCAAGATTCGATCAATCGGTAATCGGTAGGCCGATAAAATCAACCCAGGAGAAACGAGTTCTCCCGTACACCTGGTTCGTAATCATTGAGCAACGCGACGATTACCTCAAGTTCTATGCGAAGAGCCTCGTCGAAGCCGACCGCCGCGAACTTAGACGCGCAATAGTCCACTAATTTCGGGACGCCGCAGTGACCGGCCAAGCTCGCTATGCTCACGATATGTCCTTTGTTGCTCTCCATCATCGTCGGGAGGAACGCCTTCGCGGTCTATAAAGAGAACGTGGGTCATCGTGCCGATCGATCTTCCGGTTACCGATTCGCGTGACGGCGGACGTGGAAAAGCTCAAAATTGCAGGCGAGTTTCGGAATGAAAGCTCCGAGCGAACGTTTGTTCAACTGGAACGGGAATGGCGAGAAAGAGAGAAAGAGAGAGAGAGAGAGGTGGCCGAGAAGACTCTGCTGGAAGTATCCGCACGGCGATATTTATGTCAAATAGTGGATCGGGAAGAGGGAAGTGGGAGAAAAGGAGTGTTGGAAAGTGGACGGTAAGATTCTATCGAAATGACCGTGACATCGAGATGTCCGAGAGAGGTCCTCCGGTTCACCATCGGCTCGCGGGTTTCCTCGCCTCGAAGTCGTTAACCCACTTTGGACGCATGAATCTCGGACGCTTTGAAGCCGGTCTCGCACTCCAATTCCTGCTTATTAATTTTTCGGGATTTTTGTCCTCGTTCCTTGCTCTCGCGCTTCGATCGCAAGTCGGTTTAGAAATCATCACGAAAGGCGGATTACAGGTCAGTCCGAGCGATCCGCGACTGTCGCCGCTCACATTCTTATCGAGACGGCGTGAAATGTGTCGCGGCAACACGAACCGAAGAGAGAGAGAAAGATTCATTGCAATCCGCAGTGACGTGGACGCCTCAACGAATTATTGTCGGATTATTGCTTATTTCTCGGTGAGCGTCGGAATAATTTTATGAGAACTTGTTACTCGTAGAAGGCAACAACGTCGACCTTGGCCGAATAAGCGAGTTATGATTGCACCGTCAAGGATGTACAGGAATATCTCGAGTGTATGACACAGTTTATTCGGGAAAATTATTCAGGCAAAATCGAGGTACCAAGAGAGAGAGAGAGAGAGAGAGAGAGAGAGAGAGAGACGGTTCCATCAAGCTTCTCGTCGAAGCATAAAATATTGAAAGTCACAGTACGCTCTGGATCCATTTTTTTTTTATCGCCTCTGCTCGTGCCGATAAAGCGACGTGTGTTTTGCCTTCGCAGTTGCATAACATTGAATATGCTACAAACTCGAGTATTTTTTTCTTCTCTCCCGCGTTATTGCGTTTATACGTGACGCTTAAACTTCAGCAAAAACAGCACATTAATACACCGACAACGACAGTTTGCCTCGCCTTATTTTGGCTCCTGCGTGTGAGTTATTGCGCGTTTATTAGGATTCCTCCTCCTGTAAAGTCTTTATGTGTGCGTGTAATCTCCATAAAAAAAATATATATACCATTAGACGGTTGCAGGTGATTTATTAAGAGCAACGCATAACGTTGTTGCGACACAGAGTCACACGGCCGAACACCAAGAATGGCTTCGATTTTGCGGGAACAGGCTCGACGAACATCCGTCAGAACGAATGAGAGTTTACGGATCGCTAATTGAGTAGGAATTCAAATTAAGAGATTGTTTGCATTTGGTCGGCCGGTGAAGTGGTGTCGCAATGGCACGGACATGTGAACACTGCAACGCCGCGAATAGCCGACGCTCGCACACTTATTCGAACGGTTCTTGTGTGTACCTGACCAACAGCAACAAACGATAATAGGAACGAACGCGGAATGCCTCTCACCGCGACTTCTCTCCTCCTCCTCCTCCTCCATCGTATCCACCTTCTCCTCGCGAACGGCCGATCAGCGACCTTTGATTCTAGACCCAAATTCGCGGCCCCGAGCCGCGGTAATTCAAAATATCGCCGTTGGCGGCATTATCGCGAGTCGAGACGTTTCGAAATCAACGGTATCTCGTTGCAAAACTCTAAGCGAGAGGCGCGGAGAGACCTCTTTTCACGACGTTCCTCGGTGAACGGTGCGTCGACTTTAGCATCGCCGATCTTGGTGTTCGTGGCGGCGCTTTGGCAGGAGAGAAAGAGATTTTTCAAAAATGTCACAGGGACACCGTGTTCTTTCTTTCCTTTTCTCGCGACGGAAAAAAGACAGAAACGGAGAGCGTGAGAAAGCGAAGGTATCGCTCAAGGATCTTCGCCCGTTTTAAAGGTATCGCTCCTCTTATCATTGCAGTCAACATGCATTATAGTTCAATTATCGTCATATATGAACAGCGTGTTTTTACGTTACACTAAAAACCGGATGCTATCTACGAAAAACGTCACTCACCCAGAAATGGCTCATGATATTGACATCCATCGTCCTTATGATGAGCTTGTCCGGGGTGTCCAAGAACTTCGTTATGGAAGCGATGCCCGCGTTGTTGATGAGAATCGTCACCTGTAGGCGCATAAGGCACACCGTAATGATCTCTTGCGCGGAGAGGGGGGAATTTCCTTGATGCGAAGGGCGACCAAGTACGATCCGCGAAGGAAGGACATCGTCAACGACCGGAGTGTCGCGTGGAAATAACGCGCGGCATTGTGATCGAACGGCCCGGTGAGAGAGAACGCGTGAAGAAAAATTTTTTCTTTTTTTCTCTCTCTCTCTCGAGACCACCCGACGACGACGGTCTCCTCCGCGTATCGGAGACGTATACTGCAACTGTTGTGGCGTAACGTAGACTTTCATAACGTCGACCGCGACGAGACCGGTGGCTAGACGAGTTGCGGACGAGTATTCGTCTTCCAAAGAGACGCCCGTTTCTTTCGCGCGCTCCTGACCGATCGCCGGGGTCGTCGAGTACACGAAGGAAAAAGTCAGGTAGAATCAACAAAATGTTGCCTGAGGATGCTCGCTCGTTAAGTATCGTATATCGCCAGTGGCTTATCGAGGTGGTCTCTCGTAAATTTCGAACTTATCCGTCGAGCAAAAATTACGTTTCTTTATGGTTTATTTCGCCACCGGATAACACGAGTATTACTATTTATAAATTTTCCACTCGTATCTTTAAAACGAAACGGTCGATAATTCGGAAATTTGTTCATTACACTTGTGTATTAATCTTTAACATTACGCGACTGTTTTCTAAATTCCTCTATTTTATACACGAATATGTCGAATCAGAAGAAATTTATTGTGTTAGATTTTCTGCATGTTTTCACATGCAAGTTTGTAATCAAATATCTCGGAGACGACATAGTAAAGACTGAAACTCCGATGTTACGCATTGTAGTTTGATTGGCTTTTGTATCATGTATATATCACAGATTTATTTTATATTCGATCAAACGCTCGAACCTCCTTAAACGAATAATTTTTTTTAACACAACGTTTAGTCCATTGAACAAATTGTACGGTTGCTGTGGTAAACTACCGATTTAACGATTGCGACTTGGTCACCAGCTGTATCAATGCAACGTACTGTTGCGCCAACGCCATAATTTGTTCAGTAGACAAAATATTTTATGTTCTTTCAATGACGATGCCGATTTTATCGATTCAAGTGCTTTTTTTCTCAGTCACGACAATTTTTTCCCCTCAAACGACAAGGATAGATGATAGACGGCAAGTTTTTCTCGACACGAATCCAAACTCTCGTCCCGAAAGTCGCGTCGTCACATTTTCGACAAAAACATCATAAAGTCGTATTTGACCGGCGGATTGCGAATTTCGTATTCGGCATAATTCAATCGCAGTGTCGTTTAATGAGGCGGCCAGCCGAATAACAATGACTTCGGACGGAGTTATTATTACCTTGCCGATCTCTTCCTTGATGATGTTGGCTTTTTTATATATGTCCTCCCGATCGCACAAGTCGCAAACGTAACCATAACATGTGCCGCCGGCTGCCCGTACCAACTTAATGGTCTCCTGAATGCCTGCAACGAAAAAAAACAGAAGTTCGGTCAAGGTGGCGTTTCGTGCTATATGAGTTACGGCGCATCTTCACAGTTCACGCGCCCGTGGAAGATCAGCGAGTCAGCGCGCACGATTACGGGAATATACGGGTAAAACTAACGCCATAACAAGGCTGCGCGACATTAATGGAGAAGAAAGTCCCGAGAGAAAGAGAAAGGCAATTTTGACACCGCTCGGGATCGTTCTTGCTTTCTCGCTAGTTTTGATCCACTCCGTTGCATTGTAGATCCACAAACGACGTTCCACTTCTCAAGCGAGGAAGACGAAAAGGAGGAGCCGGACGAATCGGGCGACGAAATTGTTAATCCCGGTTGAAAAAGCTTTTCCCACCGCGCACATTGTGTCCCGTGATCGCAATAATTAATGCGCACGATGCGGGAGAAAGATAACAAATAGCGCACGGAAGGTAAGAGTCTCAGTTCCTGCAGCTAAATAGGGACCAAAGACGAAAAGTCGGCGACAAGAAACGATATGTCTCTGTTACCGCGACCGTGAACACTCGTGTGAACATTCACCTGCGTTAAAAGCAGCAGTCGGGACAACTGAGAGAGCAATTGGAAGTTTCGCCCTCGGGAGTTTTCGTCTGGTCTAAACAGAAAATTCAGTTACACCGACGGAATTTCTTCCGTGCGATACTCCTCGACGAGAGAGGCCACGGGTGAAGTCCGACGATGACGTTGAAATCGTCGTGAATTTCGCAAATTTCGCTGCTAAGATTTCGTCCACGCGGCTAATGACGTCGCGCTTGCGCAAATCACACGCGGGGCTCTCGTCGTATATCCTACGTGTATATAAATTCCCGGATAGAAAGTTCTATCCTTCGCAGGACACCTTCTCGCCGGCTCCTCGCAGGCAGGAGCAATTGCCGCGGGTGGTGGTGCGTATATTCGTGAGGCGGCTAAATATCCATCCTACTTTCACCGATCCCTCCGAACGAGACTATTTCTTCCTCAATGGTGGTTTCGATCGAGCGATCGCTACCGTTCCGAAAATTTCACGCGGAACGGGAAAACTCGAGGAGCGCGTCTCTCTCCCGTGAATTCACGCGGAGGTCAGAAGTACGCGACTGCGTTCCCTCCGAGGAAACTCGAGGTGCACGCGCACATATCCATCCGGATGATCTTCGCGAATGCATCTTCGTAACGGCCGTAACATCTGGTATTTGATTTTTACCGCGGGCAACCTGTTCCGCGCGCGACTCGCTCCGTTCCGCCGGATCACGCACGCGGAACCTTGAACGTTGCGGCGTGCCCGTTGGGACGAAATTCGCACGATGCTCGGTTTCGCTTTCGCAATGTCATATCTGATATCGTAAGTGAACGCATTTGGGGACGCCCGCAAAGCGAGCTGAGTAGTTTCGCGAATCGGTCGAAATAAAATCATAATTCTGATATCTGTGTATAATGTCTGCGTATTAGTCCTCGTTACCGTAGTGATTTCTCATTAAAATCTTATTTCCAGTATGGAATGTTTTAAACAAAAAAATTAAAAATAGCTGATCTCGAGAAATACATGTTAAAAGGGTTAACTTCAGTTCCACAAGTATCTTATCTCTCGAATGGTCAGTGTGTTTTTAGTTATATAAATAATGGACCAGTCTTACCAATTGCGGTTAATTAAAATCGATCGAATAAATTTAAAAGTCGCGACTGTAAAACTTTAAACTGATCATTACAACGATTTTTGGGTGCTTGAGATCCTGTTATTGGCAATTTTTGGATTTAATCTATCGCTTGTATAACCGCTTAAATTAAATTAAATTTAAATAAAAATAAAAAATTAAATCTTAAACCATGATTATGTATTCTTATATATAAGCAAAAATATTATATTATTCTTAGGAGATTTTTGGTCTTGAATCGAGTAACTTCAAGTAACACTTTCATCAATACAAATTCAATTAAATCAAGATTAGAAATCTCCTAAAAAGATTATAATATTCTTGCTTATGTATGAAAACATTTTTATTTTTATTTAAGACTAATTTTCTTCCGTCTAGTATTTCCATCAATATTCGACTGAAATTTAAAAGGATTCTTAAGATAATTGATTCGACGGGCCAACTATCTTAACGCGATCTTAACGCGCGGATTTTAGCCGACGGTATAACTGCTCGATTTCAGTTTCACCGTTACAGCGAGGTATCGCGCGCGTATTATATATTTGCAACGGAGAAATGGAATTATCGAAGCGTCCTTCAGCCATTCGCAATTAGCCGTGAATTAAAATTTTGCTCTTAGCTGGGTTTTATCGGCAAGCCCGCGAATAAATAGTTGATTCCTGCTTAACCACTTTCAATTGATATTGATCATAAGATCGTAAGATAAGGAATAAGAGGAATCAATCATATAAGATCAATAAGAGAAGGAATAAATCAGTCCGCACTTGCATACCGTCATTCTGGAGTTGCGATATCAATATTAAATTTTGTCCGTTTAACATAACGTCTTGCTGGGAAAGAATCGCGCCGATTGAATCGTGATGTAATCACGTTCCAACGAGTTTAACGCCGCGTCGGGAATCGTCGACATCGACGCGCTTGAAAGTCCGTCGAATATCTCGACGGTTAATTTTAAGACGATGTGGTCGAACAATGACGGCTACGCCCGTATAGAATAACAATGCGACGATCGTTCACGGGACGTGATTCATTAGACAAATGGAGATCGAAGTAAAAGGGAAAGTGAAGCTCTCCGGGAGGACGCCGATCGTGTCACAGATCGTCGAGGTGAGGGAAGAGAAGAGAAGCCTCTTAATAGCTGATAAATTGTCTGACTTCAGACTTGATAAACGACTTGATACGAGTGAATTATTTCGCTAATTGCGAAAATAGATACGAAGTAAAGAACATCGAAAAGAAATACACAATTTAACATCGACGCGATCACGTGTAATGAGCATGCGCGCGATAAAGTGAGGCAATTGAGCAATAATGATTAAAGGGATGATTAAAGGCATTCCTAAACGCCTCCCGCATATAATTCATAATTAATTAGATGATTAATTAGTTTATAAATTTGGACATATGCTCCCGCTGAACACGTGTGTAAACGTTACCGCGACCGCGAGAGAGCTTTTTAAACGACATCGGTAGGCTGCGCACGTGCACAGAGTGACCCTGAAATTCAACAGTTTAATTAACCTTACGTTTATGATTGGACTTTCAATTCTCAGTTTTTATTGACCGACGACCATCGGAGTTTCCTGAGAACTCCGATTCCGACGGATTCTGCTTATGCACTCGCAAGCCAGTAAACATTAATAACATTAACTAATTAACGTTACGACAATATAATAATTCTAATTTCTCACTCAACAATGTAACTGTTATACATACAACTCTTGTTATATTGTATTTATATTATTGAGTGAGAAATCATAACATTATTGACTGTTAGTGGGAGATTTGTGACGCGTGGAGCAAACTTTAGCCGATATTTATAGTCGAATCTTATATTTAAGATCGTCTTATCGTCAAATGCTGTACGGCTTATTTTATTTACAAAACTAGTTACGAAACTTCTGATAATAAACTTGAGACGGTATATTCAGTATAAGATCCGGTTATAGAAGCCGGTAATAAAAACTTTTGATCTAGAACAAGATAATTAGGTTATTACAGACGTATCAGAGCAAAACTGAGTAAACATTGCTCTTAAAGTCCTGTGTGGGCACTGTAGAGAGCAGAGTGTGAGTGTTGACGTTGCGTCACCATTAAATCTGCCATCAGACTACGGATTAGGATTGAAGTAGAATTAAAATTAGGCCGGTAAGAGCAAAATTCACTGATCTTAAGTTTAACTCTTATTGGCCAAAGTTTCAATTCAATCTCAATCCTAATACGTACTCTGATACGGGCTTGAGGGTGACGCAACATCAGCACTTACACTCTATGCGCCCACACAGCGCACTTTATACGTCCTTAGGACGTCCCTTCGAGATCTGTGCTGTATGGACGTCGATTTCAGACGAAATTTTTATTGCCTTTCACGCTTTCTTTGCGGGCCACTTTTCGACTCGTCGAAAGAGGATCCTGAGAATCGCGGAATCGCGGACAAACGGGAAATGTTATAACGTCGTGGACGTCAGACGAGTGCGCATTCTCTCCGCATAATTTCGATTTCACGCTGCGAATTCCGTGTGTATAACTCGATTCCTCCATCTTTTTACAGCGATTCATTCGGGTATTCAAAAGTATCTAATATCTTTATTTATATCTTATTTATATCTTTGATATAAAATAATCATACGTACTTACGTAAGATTTTTTGAAAATCTTTTGAAAATCTTTATTATTACTTATAATCACTTTTTCCGGTGGTATCGGTCAAAACGAATCAAAACCATAAGTAAAATAATATGTTGAGACGACGCACAAATAAAATTCTTTGTAGAAAGTTTCAACATTTGAAAAATACTTGTGGCTTTGAAAGAAAGACAAATGGAATATCATTTATATGAAAAATTCGTACAAATAAATTCTGTTTAAAATAATGGTAAATCCAGATATGCATAGTCGTGTAATAAAATCTTTAGTGAGGAAGAACAGAACTTATATGCTATTTCGTGATTTTCCTCCTGGCTCACTGCAACAACCTAGTATACTGATTCGACAACTTTCAAGTAGTTCTCATTTAAAGAAAATTTACCATTTGAACAAAATTTTGGTACGCGAGAAGCGGATTTGTTTGGTACCAAGCATTTGTTTGCGTATTCGTCGGCGCACTTCGTGTGCGCGGATTATTTTGAGACACCTGTGTATTTATCAATTACAAACTTCACGAGTGGCTTTCGCGCAAAATATTCGATTCGGAGAACTCACTTCCTGCGACCGTCGTAAGTTTGAAATATTTGTAAAAGTAGATTGAGCGCGAGCGTGGTATGGTAGATAGCGCACTAGTCTACCATGGTAGAAGTCCCGGGTTCGCTCCCCCCGGCGCCACAATAATAAACCAGAAAATTTTCACACGCTCGTGTAGCTCCTCCTTCGGTGGCCCGGCAAACCATCAAAGAGTAATCTCTTGCCAAGAAAAAAAAAACTTTTCTTAAACTTAGCCGTTCGGAACCGGCGTTAAACTGTAGGTCCCATATATATGCATGCATGTATACGATCTGTGTGCGCACCATATGCTTAGCTTCCTTTTAAGGGCTTTTTAGTAACCCACGTAGAGCGAAAAGCACTATTCAGAGATAAATGGGGGACGTTTTTCAAAAGCGCAAATCTCGACCGAGAACTTTTCACGCGGGGATCGTTCGAGGCGAATTTTCACTCACCGCTCTCGTTAATGTCCCAGACGACGACGATGGCGCCCAGGTTAGCCAGTCTGAGGGACAGCAGTCTGCCTAACCCGCCACCACCCCCTGTCACGAGGGCAATCTCACCGTTAATGGTCTTCATCTTGTATTTTTTCGGTATGAGAAACTTGATAATGCCCTTTAATATCGCGATGAGTGACAGCGCCAGGAAGACGATCACTTCCCCGATGGAGTACAAATACTTCATGTTGGCTGGTGATGAGGCTGGTATGTACGAACAGAGCTCTAGCCGACAAACCGGTGATCCGATTGCACTCTACGCGTTCGCCTGAAATGTACAAAAAGAAATCAAAGTAAACGACGCCTCGAGAACGATGGGTGTGTCGGCTATTGTTGTTTCTGCGATTGAATTTATTTCTATTAACCCTTTGAGTACTGAATTATTGTAAGATTTTTATGCACACGGGACGGATTTAATTTGTCGCTATATGGATTAATATGTAAAAGTAATACATTTTATGCCCAAGTAAGCAGATGACGAGTCTCACTCGTCAAAAATGTACTGAAAGGGTTCATTAAATATGTCAATATGCAAATATGTCAATGTGACAATATGTAAATATATCAATGATAATGTTCACGCCTGGTGAACATGTCGAAGAGCGCTAAATATAACGTTAAACGTTATTTAACGTAAAAACATTTTTAACTTTGAATTCAAATTTACAATTGTCCATTATCTTTTATCTGATATGATATATCATTGAGTATTGATTAAAAGCCGCGGTTGTTTGTACACATTAATGAAGTTGTAAATTTCCTCCCGATTATAATGAATTTCGACAATTTAATATACTGACTCGCCTGACGTAAATATGATTCGATCGTTATCAATCTCGCGATTGTTCGCGTGTGGGATTTAACAAGAGAGAAACTTTCGATATATATATTGGCTACGAGAGATCTATGCACCAGCTTGTACTCGAATTTAACTTAATATGGACGTTTAGCACGAGTTCGAAAGATTAGAGCAGCTTATGTAACTTCCTCGACATTGATCAACCCGGTAGTAACGTACACTTCTACTTTCATCCATTCTGTGTGTATGTGAGAGAAGAGTATGATTCAATCAATGAAAGTGGACTACCGACTTCGACGAGCGTCTCGCTAAGTCAAAGGGACCGTGAAAAGCATCGTATTATATACGTCGATCATGAGAATGATCGGGAGAATGTTATATGTTATAATTTTATATATTCGCACTTTATTATTTCCAAATTATTTATTATTTTCAATTTTTTTTAAATTTAAAAACACGCGTCTACTTTCCACTAATAAAACAAGTGGTATTTTTCGATGAATATGTGACAAACATGTCGATCTGTGACGCACGTCATTTTTTATTAATTTCATTTTATTAATTTCAGTTAATTAAAATGATGTCATTAGCATTCTAAGAATCATGGTATCTAGTATAGTAAGAAATAATAAATGCACGTCAAAGCGTCGCCAATCGGAAGATAAATTATTGAAATCACAGAAGAATGAGAATAGAATTCAACTGCAAAAACAAGTTCCAGTTTCTCACGACGAATTATACGCAATATCGAATTGTAGTAAATAAGCGATTAATATGTTAACGAAAGTAACAATGAGAACGCTGAGAAAAAATTGCGACAGTCAAGGAGATATTCAAAGTATAGAACGTGAAATAACGATACACAGTAAGAGATTTTGTATCACAAAAGGTCTACCCAATTCAATTCGAATTCGTTTTCGAGGGTGGGAGATTTTTTCAAAACTATGCAATACTTAATATTTTCGTCCATTTTTAATATCATTGAAGATAATTTATCAATTAGCATGTGTGTAATGAAAATCCGAAAAATCTAATTCGAATCCGATTCGCATTTGAATTAAAGAGATTTGATTTCGATTTGACTTTGAACATATATTATCGAATATTCGACTCGACCACGCAGATACTTCATTCGCACACTTCTAGTGAATATAAATATTAGGAAGTATTGTGTCAACAAGGCAAATATACGTTAATTTAACAGATTTGTGAACTTCTTAGTAACATGATCTAATCTAACAGAAAAATAGACCGTTCGTGACAAAAAATTATTTACGCAGTAGTCGCGATTATCGCCGGTGGTTTCTCATAGCTTAAACATAGGAGATCATGACTTTTTTTCTCCTTATCGCCGTTTCTCCTTATCGCCGTCTTTAGAGCACAACACGTTCCTAGCAACGGAGATCCTCATGTGCGAGGTGCGCAAGATACGTCCGTAACCTACGTCGTTCTGTCGTGTTAACGCAAATTCGTGAACGAATTTAACGGCAATTCGCGGACGTCATATCGCGAACGTGCCGCTTTCTAGCAACCGACAGGACTCACTTTCAATTTTCAACTGCGATTTCCCGCCGCACGATGCGATGACTGCGTAATCCGCGTCAGAGATTCAGTTACCTACTCGCGAAGCGGCGGTAGGTGGTCGGAGAATGTCGGCGCGGGATGCTAACTGACTCATTTTCTCTAATCTCATATATTGTTCATGAACGTTAGTAGTACGTACGTAGAACGTTGTAAGTACGTACAATGCTTTTCTTCTTTTTACACGATAACTTATATATTGCATTAAACTGTGCCATTCTTTTTAACACTCAACATATTCGCTTGCTTTTTAAGGTCTGAATTCAACATTAGACGCTTCTTTCGCTGCATTTCTTTTGTCGATCGATGTTTCGAAGAAAAAAATTCCGACTCACCCGGATACAAAATTTAAATAATTCATGTGATAATTTATACACGTGTGTATGTGTGTGTGTGACTATGATATAGAATTGTTGAAAGTTCCCACTTGGAGGAAGCAACTCAACTCGATTGTTAGTATGGAGATTGGACGATTAAATACGAAGTTCATAAAAAACATCTTTCCACAGCAATATTCGCACATTCATTTACTTCAGTTTAATTCATGCGTGACGCATTAGTGAACGTTTTGCAATCGCTGATAAGCAGACGAGCGAGACTAACTCGCGAGAGGAAAATATAATTGCGGAGAGAAAGATATATCGGCTGAAAACCTTAGCAATAAGATTTGATAAATAAAGTGTTATAGACAAATTTTATATGTACTGTTATTCTTTTTAATAACCACAAAAAGATAATTATAAAACCGCGGATAACTTCATTTCACGCGACCGTTTTTATTTAAAGGTAACTTTTTTTCTCTTCTTAGCGACTGAGAAACCACGATCGCGGATGACATCCGTCGTTCTCACGGGAAGAGCGAGATCGATAGAAATCGCAGGCGGCTCGTCGTTTGCGAATCGCGTAGAGAGTGTAAAAAGACACCAATGACGATTTCCTCCGGAAAATCGGCTACTCGTCGTATTCGTGGTGCTAATTACCGTGTATGCGACTTCGCGTTGCAGTCACGGACGGAGTAGAAAACCGCACATTTTTTTCTTCCTTCTACACTCCGCCGCGCGCGCCGCAGCGGTAAAACGGTTTTCGCCGAGGAATTGATTGACTTTCACTGCCGTGAACCCTCTTACCTTCGATACGTTATTGCATTTTCCGTTGCGTTTCTTTTCTTTTTCTTTTTTCCGGAGTCTCGCAAACACACTTTCAGTCGGTCCCGAATTTTCTGTCGGATCGGCGTCTTAACGCGCGTCTCGTAATTACGTTCCGTTACAAATCGAGAGATAACGCGCCGATATCACAGATGCGACTCGACATAACGCACGGCATTCGATGTTGCACGTTGTACAACGAGTCTCATTACACGGGCATACACTCATTACCGCGACGGCAGTTTTCGAGCGGCCGAGACTCGTCAACGCGTTTTCCCGATGAGCGCGAGTCTCGTTCGAATGTTTCAGCCGTGAATGTAAGAATGTGAGACCGACAGATAGGATCGTCGCATGAATTGGCGATTCGCGAATTGACAACGCCACGTTATTCTCTTACCTGTTGATCCACCCGTCCGAACGAACGTTCGCTGTCGCATCAAACGCTAACACGCGATGTCGAGGAGAAATGGGGAAATTCTGATCGCCGCGGCGGTTGAAATACGCGCGAGTGTTTCACGTGTGATGGGAGAGAGAGAATGATAGAGAGAGAGAGAGAGGGAGAAAGACGCACTTGAGGAGCGATGCCTTCCTGCCAGCACTACGGTCGACGGTATACTGAATGGATCGCGTTGCTTCGGTTGCGCCTTCACCTCGCAATGATCGCCGAATCGGCGAACGTCTCGTTGCACACTATGCACTCACGCTGTGTGTGTATGTGTGTACTCTGCGTCTCGTTATTGTACAATCGCAAAATTTACGTACTACGATGACCCGCGAGCGAACCACCCATTTTTATCCCAATCTTGTCGAAAATATCGTCCACACGCGGGAGAAAAATTAATCTTGAATTAAGGATAGATATTCTCACATATAAGCAAGAATATCACTTTCTTAGAAGATTTTTAATCTCGATCTGATTGAATGTATTGACACAAATTATTAGTATTCAAATTCAACTCAAAACTGAACGAGGAAATTATAAGAAAATTACGTTTTGCTGTTGCATTTAATTATGACCGTCAAAAGTGATATGATATAATTATGTAAAATTGATATGATATAATTATGTATTCAGAGCTTGAATCGAATTACTCAAAGAAGGTTGCATGATAAAATCATTCGAACGGAATTTTGGCAAACGAGAGGTTACTTCGTCCGATACCAAGAATCTCCCGGTGTTATTTCGCGTGCGGTTATTTTGGGACACCCTGTATAAAATTCATGATTTGTATTCGTCGGCAAGGAGAAGAGGGAAGAGTACAAGCTTACTTTCTGTCATATTTTGGACAGTTCTATTATCTTTATTGACTTAACGCTCGCCACTATTAACTTAAAGCCGCTATTAACGTTAACGCTCCGAGCGGATCGCCGTTTTCGTCTGTTCTTTTTCTTCAGACGACGGTACAATCGATTAAATGGTAATTGCGCCGAGATTACTGCGTTGCAAGAATTCCTCCAATGATAAGTAGAGAATGTTTATTTTCTGATTAGATAAATGATGATAAATGTTATTTCTGAAGAAGAAACGTTACGCGCGTGAAGAATATTAATAATAATGAACAATGTATCTCGTGCGTCAAAACACTCGATTCCAAGTGCATAGTTCACAAGTCGGGGGAATGGTCTCCGGCTATTCGAGATGACTTTGTAAGATGTGGAGTAATGTGCCAAACAGAGAGCAGTGATCGCTATTTTTACGGCGTGCGTCGATCACGTTTCGCACCGAAAACGCGAAAATCAGCCTCACTCGATCGTCGATTCTTAAAGTATAGTTTGTGACAATATTGTTAGAAAGGTTAGCACGATACGAAAAGAAGCTCGATAATTCTCTGCTAAGTGTTTGTAAGCATGATTTATATTATACGTACATTGATTCGACAGCAAGAGAATATCAACCAAATTTACATAATACTTATTTATATAATACTTACAAAAAATGCACAAAGAAATAATCAGTTTCTGCGTTTTGGCGTTTGATACTTTTAACCGGGACTGCCCCCGTGTTAAGCACATGTTTATGAATGTATCATGCGTGCAGCAGGCTCTATTAATGCTGACCCATTTTCAACGCATAGGCCAGTATTCATAGTGAATCTTATATCTGAGACTGTCTTAAGTTTATTTTTAGATGCATCGTAAGGGAATGAAATAAGGTGTAGGACATCTGAAGATAAACTTGAGACAGTCGATCTTAAATGTTAAATCGATCGTGAAGACCGACCATACACGGAGGAAAAGTTAGTCTTGATTCGAAAATAGATATTTTCATATATAAACAAGAATATCATAATCTTCTTAGGAGATTTGTTTATTTACGTCAGACAGAGGAGCAAGATGTACACGCTTGAATAAATAATAAAACGCAGGATTTGCGTGATAATCTAAAGAACGAGCGACTAGCGAGACGAGATCTGCTAAAATTCACGCGTCGCTGTGTAACATAGGAGTCTTGACGCGCCATTCAATCTATATAGTTAGAATTATTGACCTAGTTCAAAACAAATATAATAATATACGACGAATCTGTGTGGAGAACGGCATTCCTGTACGATATCCTTACTTCGAACTTTCTGCCTAAACATTCCTATACATGCGAGAAGCGTGTATATAGATTACACCGCTATAAACGAATGTTTATCAACAAATCGACAAACGAAGACTCACCAACGAGAAACCGTGTCACGCAGATCGTGCGAAGGAAGGATATTAAAAGCGGCTTAACACGTTGAATGCCACGCGCACTTCGGAGGAAATCTCGTTCAGGCCAAAAAATTAAAATTTTTTTATAAGAAATATTTAAATATATTAATTATACGATCCTGAAATTACTTATTAAACTATGTAATTTTTTTAGTTTTATATCGTACTTTATACTGTCAGTCACCGGTGATTGACGTGGCACTTAACGTGTTAAAGAGATATTCTCATTGAAAAGATCGAAAAAATCGATTCTTTTATTCTTATTATTCATTTAGAGTAATAGTATTAGCCTTGAAGATATCTTCCCGTGTTTTCTATATTTCAAGAGTTCACGAAGTTATATTTGATGATTTCACAAGTTATTTGTCTACTTTCGAGTGATAAAGGGGAATCTCTCAGGCACCACTCGGATCAAAGCGGCAAATCGAGCGATAACGGTGTTTATTTAAATTTGGTCTAATAAATATCGCTTCACGAGTCTATTCCTAGTTCTTTGTGTGTAATCTTATGAAGTAATGGCTACAGAGATGTCTTATCTCAAAAACGCTCGTGACCGCGGGTCAGACTCTGTCTTTGACGTTAATCCGAATTCATTGGCAATCACAATATTTCTCTCAAAGTTACTGAACCCAATAAATATGGAATACGAGGAAGAAATTAGTTCAAGTGAAAACAAGTTTAATTTTTCGTCGGTAATGAACGAAATTACATCTATACATAGACTGCTTGTCCATGGAGAGGAAGAGGGAAGTGATGAAGAGCGATGAGGTCAAAGAAGGCAAAAAATCCGAATAATAGATAGTGAATCTGAAAGCGACAATGTTTAACAAATGTCTTTCTTTGAACTATGAAGATATGTAAAATGTTAAAATATACAAGTTTAAAGTGTTATATTGTGTTAGAAATCATTTTAAGTTAACTGTAAAAAACTCATGAAATAAGCGGGAGCAGCTAACTCCTCTCGAGTTGCTGGTTCGCTCGAGCGAAAAAGGTCTCGAGCGCAAAGAGTTAATTTTTTCTTCCCGATATTAACCCTTTTAGTGCCGAGCAAAAGTATCGTACCTATGCGAAAAATACCGAGCCAATTTGACGAATTTGCTAAGGTTTGGGAAAAAGCTCATAAAAGCCAAACTAAAAATGATATTTACAAAATTCAAAAAGCAGCATATTACGAAATAAAGAAAGAATAAAGTGATGCCAATTGTATTTCAATATTTGTTGAAAATCATACGCATACATTCGCAATGCGAATAGTAAGACGCTCTCGGATACGCGACAATATATCGTCGTTGGCACATTTCGCAAGTGTTGCGAACGACGATATATCGTCATTCGGCACTAAAAGGGTTAAAGAAAGCCACAACTTATCCCACAGTCCCAAGATATCTTTTTTCTCTGAGTAACCAACGTATAACGGGAGAGAAAACGAATATTTCTTAATTTAGTAAACGTTAAAATGCTATTAAAATAATAATAAAAAAGTGTACAAAATTTGGTGTTAGCTGATCTTTATGTTTTTCTACAAAAAATTTCCCGAAAAATATCTTTTCTCTCGACATTTTGCACGAGAATATCGCCTTAAATTGCGTTCAACAAGAATAGATCACACGTACCGATTATGAGATACAAGACTGACTAGTCGTCAAGCAAAATTTGATTCGCAGAAGAGAAATACATATTAAATATCGCACCCATGCAAGTAAATGCACATTCTTGATCTTTACTTGAATGTTTTTTATCCCCACGAGAACCACATCATTTGATGATATCTTTTTAATGTATAATTACTCTTCTCGCGTTAATAAAGCGCTTTCACATGGCTGATTCTACATTCTAAGTGAAACGCACATGAAATAAGCATCAATAAACGTTTTTTCTTCGTGTGTTATCGAAAAATGACGGTATTTCGCGCACGATCATTTCGGAATCACTCCAAAAATACATTTAGTGCTCCACGACGTCGTCTTCATGATATGTATGTGTGATGTCAATAAAAGTGCGCGAAAAATACACTATCATAAATCGTAAAACGTCGTGAAATTATCGTAAAACGACAGTCATATTACATCAACCTTGAAAACCGTCGTAATTACGTTTACCAGCCAGTATTTTCGATTAAATGACGATGCTGAAACCGGTTCGTTCGTGTTTCCCGAAATATCGAGCGAACGAAACAACGACAATGGTTGAGCTGTGCAATTTTTTTTTCGTTCTTCCATTTTTGCGTTTATTTTCTTACTACTGTCTCATTGACCGTATGGCCAGTCGCAAAAAGATTGCAGCACTTTTCTTTCTGATAAGTTACGACACGCATTTCGTGTCGTTTGAAGAATATATTTCTTGTTATATATTATCGGATAAAAAACATTACGAGACTCATCGAGAAAAAAGTAATTATAACCTTTTTGTGACTGACTATACATCGAATGTCGTTATGACAAAACCGCTAGTTTTTGCGGCAAACATTTTCCTGTGTGATTCTGCACTTTGAATCCGCGCGATCTGCAATCCACGGCGAGTTTCTAACGGCGGGAAAACCTACGAAGAATTAGAATCGTCTACACTTGAGACATATTGTACACACACGCACGCATTTATCAATCTACGAGCGTTCCTCGCGTCATTACGTGGCATGAATTACGTAATCGCCGTCCTGAACGTTACGGATCAGAAGGTCGGTAGTTGCGGCCGCGCACATATTGGGATAAAAGATGCTTTTTTAGTCTCGGCTGAGTGAGAAAAAAGACGAAGGCGAAGTAAAACCAATTTGGTCCGTCGACGTACAACGAACCCTCGTTTACGGCCAATTTACACCGCGCCTCGCTGTGATTACATTATACCGCACGATAAATACACGCGGGTGCGAAAATACGCGCACATCGATATTAATAGTGACCTTTCGTTCCGCGAGAATAAAAAAAGGAAAGGAAACAATCGGGAACGAGTGCCGTGGTTTGCTTGCACAACAGAAGAGATGCATGATAGCTATGACATGTATATACGAGGTCTGTTCAAAAAGTATTGCGAATTTTGTGTTTTTTCAAAAATTATTTATTTATTCATGAATATCTATTTTGTCTCCTTCAAAGTAATCCCCATCAGATATTATACACTTGTGCCAACGTTTTTTCCAATCCTCGAAGCACTTCAAAAAATCATTTTTTGTGATCTTGTTCAGCTCCTCCTTCGATGCCGTCTTTATCTCCTCAATCGTAGCGTAGCGTCGTCCTTTCATGTGCCTCTTCAGTTTCGGGAACAAGAAAAAGTCACAGGGGGCCAGGTCTGGGGAATACGGTGGCTGCGGCATATTAGTGTGTTGTTTTTGGCCAAAAATTCGCGCACAAGCAACGATGTGTGAGCAGGGGCGTTGGTACGAATTTCGCGGCGACCCGTCTCATGCCCAAATCATTAGTAAAAATCGAATGGCACGAGCCAATCGATATGTTTAGGTCCTCAGCAACTTCTCTAACGGTGATTCGACGATTGGCCAATACTATTTTCTTCACTTCATCAATGTTTTCGTCTGTTGTTGACGTGCTCGGGCGTCCGGCACGCTCTTCGTCGTTCACATCTTCTCAGCCCTCTGAGAACATTTTGTACCACCGATAAATGTTGCTTCGGTCCAAGGTAGCTTCACCATATGCCACAGTCAACATTCGGAATGCGTCCGCGCACTTAATTTTGTTTTTCACACAAAATTTAATACAGATTTTTTGATCCATTTTTTGGAATAGGCAAAAATCGAAGACGAGCCAAAACACGTCAAAGCAAAACAGCTGTCAAAGATAAACTGAATATTCAAAAGGGCCGAACTTGTCGGCATAAGTGAGGGACATGAGTACCAACATAACGCCACAAAAAAATCGAAAATCGAATATACGTAACCCGCGGAAATTCAAAATTCGCGATACTTTTTGAACAGACCTCGTATATTGCTTCATTGTATACCTTATCATTCCGCAGGTCGAGACTTATACGATTTTCAAGCTTATGGATGTAAGATTAAGGTGAAAATCCCATAATCTTTAAGTATAATGATAGGATTATAATGACTATAATTAGAACAGGTTCGAACTTATGTGTAAGATTGAAAGTCGTGTAGTTTTCGTTTCGAGGAATATCAAGACTTATGCGACATGTTTATCATATATAAAATTAATTAATTAACATCGAGGAGAACAATTTGATGAATGAGTAATCAGAATTCAATCGCTCGAGGCATTTAAAATTATCTCAAATATCTCAAAAGCCGCATTGTTAAATCAGATACAAATCGATCGTGAATAGAATGCGTAATGAAGTGGTAATTAGTTTGCATTAGTTTGCAAAACTAAATGCTTTGTCGATTAGCATGCAGAACAAGAACGTTTAATTTTGATGATGAGAGTATATTCAGCGATTTCAAGAATATAAAAAACAAAAATCTGCAATACTATTATTAGAGCATCGGCAAAGTCATCTCGATAAATAATTCGGTTTGGATTTATTTCGAGTTAAAAATCTCTTATAAAGATATCTCCGATCAGAGGAGGATAGAAACTATTTTATCGACCAGGAGATCATTCCTGCGAATTTATCGACTGTAGAAAGATTCGACTGTCGAGACTAGAATCTACTCGAGATCGAGCGAGCGATTAGAAGTCGATCGATATTCTATGTATTACCTGCTATGTTATACTCTTTAATGTGCGATGATAATAATAAAAGTGAAGAAAAAAAAATAAAAATAGAAGAAGAAGTACAAAAGGAAAAAAACCAACAGGCGAGCTGTCAGTAATACAGCTGTTGCAACTACATTAACTGGAGATGTCACGTGTGTCAATAATTCGTTAATGAATAAATTGTGTGATATGTAAATTCACAAATTACTGACAATATATTTAACTCGATTAAAGCAAATAAATCATTATTATTTGCTTATTAAACTGCTCTTTAATGCATCACGTTAATAAGCTCCGAAGGATACAACGGCGGAAAGATCAAACGAATATTTTTGGAAATTAACACCGCACGACTGTGTATCGTCATGCACATCATTTGTATGAGACCGCTGGGGAAGCAGCGGCGTATTTTCGCGGAAGAATAAATTTATCCTCGTTGGCGGCGGATTTTTACTCGCTTTTGGCGTTCCTTTGCAAATTGTTTTCGCACATTTGCTTCTGCATATTGATCGAAACGCATTCACATCTTAACGCATAAATTAATACCTTTCTTTGACCCTTACATAATCTCACGATATTAAAAAGTCGAGAAAGAATTCGCACGTTGAACGCGCGTTATTTGGCAGTGAGTGAGGAGATACGTCCTGACCGGTTCTTCATCCTTTGAATTCCCGCGCAGATTGTTCAAAGACTGAAGGACACTGATCCAGTTCAACGATCCTCCGCCGGTCCCAGCAATTTCGACGGGCGCACATTGGTATTATGTTTGACGGTATGTCTCGCGCCGGTATTCATTCGCTGTTCTCATTTTCTTACTTCTTTTTATTCGTTTATGGGCACGTGTTCATTATAAGTGAAGATGTTTTGAATAGCTAATTCGAGACATGACGTGAATCGCTTATCGCCCAGACGTCTACGCTTTTTGTACGTACTCGGGAAAAATGATTATTTATGATTTCATAAAATTATGTGATGATCATGTATAAATTATATATGATCCATATACGGAAATTCCCTATAAGCGCATAATATTCTTAAAATATTAGAAAAAAATAAAATAATAATATATATATATATATATATATAGAGAGAGAGAGAGAGAGAGAGAGAATTCATCATTTTAATATAATATTACATAATAATTTTCTCCGGGCTACCTTGCGTACGTACGACTTTCAAACGCATAAGAACAACAAGGAATTCGCGGTATCGCTTATGACAATTTCACAAAACATTAACAATCGCATAGCGCATATATTCCCTCATCTTCTTTGTTACACCGTGTCAATCGCACGACCTAGTTCAGCCGACGTCATCCTTTCACCGGTTGCCGGAGAAATATTACAGTTTACCTACATTTCCCCGAATATACCCGTGAGAAGATCGCGATAGAAGGTCGCGATATTGCGCACGCGCGTCCCAATCTTCGAAGCGCTTCCTGCGCCCAACGGAAGGCCGCGCAGCGAATGTATCCGTTTCAGCGTTTTAACGACGTATGATATTTTCGAGATAATATTTAACAACGTGTCTTGCGGGGGATGCAGAAATCTGCGAGTACAGGAGATACAAAAGTAGTATAGGAGTTAAGGTAGATAAAGATAAAGTTCATTGCCGCCGTTTACTGGCTCTGTCACAATTCGGGAGTGAGCGGAGTTATTGAATTGCCACGTGCATTTCCCGCACTTGATTCGGCCGATCAGGCGACTTTCTACGGGAAAGATTAGTAACGGTACAATATTCGCCGACAGTCTCGCGTGATGGATTGTAGCCTGGCTTTTGCGTAACGACGCGCGCGCAATAGCCAGAAATTGTTCAACTGACGAAAACCTCGTGCAATATCCGCGAGAAACGTCTATTACCTCGACCACGTATGACACGGCGTGCATTACGTCGTATACGTAATGAAAAATTCTAGCCGACTCCGAGTCGGCGGAGAAAATTACAGAGACGTCCTGCGGAGTTTGTGAAAGACGCAGGAAAGACGCGACATTGCGCGCCAACAATGTTGTGAAACGTTCAAATTCAATTATTAATGGCTAAAAAAATTCAGATGTAATTGTTAATCGGTAATAAAATTCAAACTTAAGCACCACTGGATATTAACGGTAAGTTTTCGATCGATTAATCAGGGGAGACGGGGGGGATTCCAATTAGAAATGATTAATGAATGACATTTTGCAATTCTTCGGAAATTTCTATCGAATATTCCACTTCTAATAAAATTTAAAAAAAAATCGAAAATGTTGCCGCTCGTTAATAATTTCTAATGCGAATTTTTTTCACACTTATTAGTCGATTGATATCTTACCGTTAATATTTAATGTTTAATATTTACATTTGAATCTTTATTACTGATTGGCAAGCTTAAATCTGAATTTTATTACACCTTATTGATTGAATTTGGGTTTTTCACGGTTTAGAAAACGCACGTACGAGCGAACTGGTGAGCGCATGCTGTAGATTTGCCGTTATCGCGCGCAGTATAATCACGGGTCACGCATCGTGGCGTAGTTTCACCGGCGAGGATAAGCTCAAGATCCGTTCGTTTCAGTCGCGCTTTCTTCGGTTCTCTTCTAGATTCTTCATCCTGCGACAACAAGGCGTTCCTTCGCTATTCCGAATTATTCGACACATATGTACAGTCGGTTACTGGATGGTTGCAACAAATTCTTTTTCTTACATCATATTTCAGAACATACACATACATCAGAACATACGCCGAGATAAATCTATGATTCATAAGCACGTACGATAGGTGGTCAGACAGGTCAAAATTACATATACATACAACGTGTTTATTGGCACGTGTCGATGGTTTGCACCATCTCCTGATGCCGATAACAAATTCAAATCGTCAGAAAAAAACGCGGAAAAAAGGAGCGGGAACGACTCTGGACGGACTCTGTACGGACGCACGATGTCATTATCTATAGCGTCCTGTACATCCTGAGCGGCTCGTACTGTAGCCAAGACTTCATGAACCGACACTTCCACGGTACGCTCGGTAATTCGAGCGTACCAGAAGCCTACAGCACAGTCCACATTCGCCGAGCACCTAGTACACAACAACGAGAGAGACGATCCGTGTCCTAAATATATATATATATATATATTTCCTCGGCGTGACTCCCTTGGTTGCCGGTGAACAGAGATTTTTCGGTTCTTACGGGCCCGAGTCGCCGAGGAACAACACCAAACATCGACGGGCTCTTCCGTGCTCTTGTGGAGACTCATCGCAGGTAATCAATTATAAAATTTGCACCATTTATATGTTATTAAAATTATATTTTCGAAAGCACGGAGAAGTTCGATTTTTTTCCCATTTTCCCGCGGATCTTTCCGGTCTCTTATCTTCTTTACGGAAAAATAGATATGGCAGGTTTCAACCGAACGCGCATGAATTTATTCTAAACGAATTCTCCTACTCCTCTTAGAAGAGAGACTTGGGAAAATCCACGGGAAAATGAGGAGAAAATCCACCTCCTTCTCTCCCGAGTCTTCGAAAGTAGAATTAAAATGCAATTAAGGAAAAGATAAACATGCGATTGCAGCGGTACGTTATATTATTATAACAATTATGAAACTGTTGTATTATGTAAACACAATCGTGGATATTGGTAGTTCGTTACGTCGTTTGAGAGCTCAATAAGTGAATATAAGGAAGCGAGAAAGCAAGTGGTTGAAATTGGACGACGGAGAAGCGCGGAGTGTTTTTTTATCACGCGCGTAAATTACGATCGTTTAATTCGACCTGTCGCGTTAATAAGAGTACATCTAGTCCGTGCATTCGCAAATCACCGGAAGATTCGGATAAAAGGTAACTTTCCATTTATAGCTAGGTCGTACTTTCACTCGCCAATCGGTGCTGTAGTTGATTTTTGTCGAAGGTGACCTACGATGAATTTAATAGTCCTCGGATATATTTCGATGAGAGATGTTCTCCCACACAAGAACGAAACAGTCAGGTGATTAAAGCGAGAGCGATCGTAAATTCGCACGTGGCAAACGCGCTATATTTCGCTTCACACAGCAAATTTCTCAATCTACGTACAGCAAACAGATTTGTTCGAAACAGCAAAAAGATTTATTGGGACGGCAAATCGATTTGTTAAGAGTACCAATTGCTATTTGCTGGATATGGACAGCAAAATAATTGGATTCAGCCGTTTGCCACAACCGTAAAAATACTTTATTTGTGTAACAAATTTTTTTTACCTCCACAATAAATGAGAAATTTGCTATGCCAGCAAATTATCTTATTCTTGCATCATTCCGCATAATATATGAAAATATATGTAATACATTCAGATATGTGAGAGACGTGCATAGTGTTTTGTAATCTATCTGCCTCATTACAAGAGTGAACAAGAAATACGAAGCAATAAAAATACAATATAGTATTGTACTATATAGTACAACTGAAATATTTAGTCACCAGGCCTAGTTTTCCACCTCCAGTGGAGGGTAAAAACTAAGTAGAAGGACGAAATAATTGGCTAAATTAATTAAATCTCAGTTTGTACCACAGGAACAATTCTTTTTTCAGTTGCTGCGCAGCTACCTTTCCTACGTGTGATAGTTGATTAATATTAATAACGCGCCACTACTGATTTGCATTATTCGCTAAAAATAGAGTAATAATTAGCATTAGCCGTTCGACATTGAATGGGGGATACTTTCATACATTTTTCCTGTCAATTAATCTTACGCACAATCTAATATTAACTTTCCATTTTCAAGGCTTTGTGTTATATTAATCGATTAACGGTGATGAAAAAATCTTATTTCACGTTCACTCGTTGCCCGACGACGTCTCGCAGGATGAATTTCAAGGAAGGCGCGCATGTGATATACGATGTGTTGTTGGTCATCGGGATGGTGATGGTTTATCTCACAGAGGCGTTACTGCTCATGCTGATTCCTCGCCGGTATTGCAACAAATCGATCGAGGGTGAGGTTGCCCTCGTCACGGGAGGCGCGAACGGAATCGGCAGGCTGATCGCGGCCAAACTCGCGAAACTTGGTGCGCAAGTAGTCATTTGGGACATAGACAAGCGAGGTGAGGATTTCTTGATTCATTCGTTCGCAGTTGTCAGACAGAAGTCGCGTGTGATCGCGCGAGTCGTTTTTCTTTCTTTTTTGGAACTTAAAATTCGATTTTGAGTTGATATCTCTCGAGAAAATTGGATGCGGCGCGAAAGGGGGAAAAGGACACGGAGAGAAATAATTTGGAAAGCGAGTTGTATGCTACCGTAGCAAATTAATTAATGCACAGGATGTTTATGAAAAAAAGAAGTTCTTGCGATATTTATTTATTTCCTGTGACAACGCGAAAAATTCGCTGTCCCTTTTCGTAAGTTATTCTTCTCTGTGCATGATCCTCGATGAAAAACTGAAGATTAAAAATTACAAATGAATTGAAAGAAAATTAAAACTTGAAAAGTTGAGAGAAAAAAAATTGAAATTAAAACTTCAATTCCCTCCTCCCCCTCCGAGCGAAGGTAACATTGCTTTTATGTGACGCGTTGCAGAGAGACGGTGCGTTAGAAAAAGAAATGGTGTTAGAATTTCTCTACGGCATCTTGCGTTACCTTTATGGTTTCTTTTGTGTGCCGAGTTGTAGACGCTTTTCACACCTACAAGTCGGCTGTCGGCCGACGTGCGTGTTCACGTGCGTTTCGAGCGCGTCGCATCGGCACCTGGCTTGCTTATACATTTTCTCACCGTCGCGCGGGCCCCCCCGACGACATCCTTCCCCCGATTGCATCTGCGACGTTTAATGACATCTCTACGTGTTCTGCATAAATGCAACGAGCGCGGAATAACGTATTCGCGCAGCCGATATTTGCTTTGTTAGAATTGACTTCTAAATTGAGGCAGGATAAGGACCTTAGGGGGAGGGGGAAGGGGGACCGATATACTGATGCAAAGGTGAAACGCAGGTCTCGCGGAAGCCGCGGAGGAAATCCGGAAAACCGGTGGAATGTGCTACACGTATTGCTGCGACATCGCCGACAAAGAGGAGGTTTATCGCACCGCGAAAGCGACGAAGATCGAAGTCGGAAATGTGAGTAAATGAGAGATGAAACAATGAGCGAAGTCGGCTTTTTGCGACTTCACATTTAGAGCGCGCGATGACGATTCGAAGGCTAAAGGAATTCATTAGCGCAATGATTAATCGCTCGGCAGGTGAGCCTGTTGGTGAATAACGCCGGATACGTGTGTGGCAAGACGCTCATGGAACTACCCGATCGCGAGATCGAGCGCACTTTCAAAGTGAACATTTTGTCACACTATTGGGTGAGTGTATCGATTCGTTAATTTGCGAAGCAATGCGCCAAAATCGTGGCAGTCTGTCTAACCGACCGAAAGGATTGAGTTTTTAAGTTTTTCCTCGTTCCTCTCGCTTTTTCTTCTCTTTTTTTCCACAAGTCGATTCGATTCTCAATTTGTCTTCACTTCACACCCGTCACTGCAGATTATCAAGTCGTTCTTGAAAGACATGATGAAGAATAATCACGGTCACATCGTGACGGTAACGAGCGTCGCCGGACTCGTGGGAAATTACAATTGCACGGATTACTCAGCGACGAAATTCGCCGCTGTCGGATGCCACGAGAGTCTCTTCGCCGAATTAAGAGTACGCATGTTCAATATATATATATATACGAATATTCATACTAAAATTTATACACAGAGAAGCAGATTTCTGGATTTAATGATAATTTCTCTAATTGAGACAAATTTGTCTTTTTGAATAGAGCAAACAAACGAATGATTGATTCGGCAAAATTCAAGGATTGTTTAGTTACGTCAAATAATATATTTCTTTTGTATTTTCGTCTCTATATATATATATATATTATATTAGTTGTTACAAGCAATAAATAATTTGAAAGAAGTGACACTATGTTAGAGAAATATTGAAGAACTTCTAGCTTTCAGTGGAGCAATATTAAATATATGATGAAATAAATTTTTTTATTGGAAACGAAATATTATTCCCTCTAAATAAAATTGTTTTTTCTATAAAACAACATGGTTTACTCTGGTGAAATAACAACATTTTCATTTAAACGAAATGATATTTAATATTAAATTACATTGTTTGTATTAAACCAATTCAAGTCAAACAACTACGTGTATTAAATCCAAAGAAACTTTTTCTCTGTGTAGATACCCAAAGAGCGCAACGTCTATAATCGGGTCGTAAGATATCTCATGACCCAATTGTAGATATTGTCTAGGTAATTACTTGATACTGAAATGGCCGAGTCTTGTCTTTCATTAAACGCATTATCGTTAAGTATGTCTGATGTGTTTTTAAGATGCACGGCTACGACAAAATCCACATGACATTGGTTTGCCCTTATCTCATAAACACGGGAATGTTCGACGGAGTAAAAAGCAGGTATGCGGAGATATTATGTATGCATGACATAATGATGGCAAAGAAACGAATATCGTTCTCGGTTTGTGCGTGTGTATCATATATATTTAATATTTTTCGAGTGATAAGTGATAAAACAAATCACAAAACAGGTTGATGCCGTCACTCGAGCCAGACTATGTCGCGGAGGAAGTGGTCGCTGGTATATTAGCAAACAAAATAATGATAGTGTTACCTAACATTATGTCGTACTTATTGCTTTTTAAATGGTGAGTTCAACGAGCGGCAAGCGCGTTACTTGTGCGAAAGTTCACTGTAACATTTTGTTGCATGTCAGTTTGATGCCATCGAAAATATGCTGGGCGACGATATGTCACATCTTCAAGGAGCCACAAGCTATGATGTTGCTTAAAGATCGTGAATTGAGAAAGAAGAGGAATTATAGTGAAAATGGTACAACTAATCATGAATGTACATACGTGCAATAAAACTATTTAAAGCTGAAGTATGATATTGCGAAATATCCCACTTACAAAAAAGCCAGATTCAACACAAATTGCAAATTGAATATGTATGTCGAATTTTTGATAAAAATCACTACCGTGCAAGATCTCAATCGAAAGATGAGATTAATAATTGAACGCTACTTTTCATTTAGCTCGATATATCTTAGCAGAAAACAAAGGTAAAATTATGATATTAATATGGTTAACAACAGACTTGAAACTGCAAAATGCTTGTGGAGTCATCTCGATAGAGATAAGCTTTTTCGAAATAACAGGTCCACGTCAAGACCTCATATTTGCTCTTCAAAATAATGGGTCTAAATCAAGATTCAATAGAGAGTTTAAAGATGACTAAATCCCTTATTTTAAGAAATTAGTTCTAAAAAGTCCCTACTACGAGCCATCGTTTTCCTTAAGGCCGGGTCTACAATAGGAGTAGTAAGCCTTAAGCCATAAAAAGTCGACCAATCACAATCGATTATTCTTGTCACATTCGACTATGATTGGTTAATTTCTTACAATATAAAGCTTACCATATTTATTGTAGACTTGGCTTAATGAGCAATTGAAGTGGTACGTGGTAATTGGTACTCAACAATCAGACGGGCGACTTCACATTTGAAATAACATTGTTCCATGATTAAACATTCTTTATTTTATTCTGAAAATAGGCACTATTTAACGGACTGTAACTTCAGCAAAAATGACACTATCAAGATGACAGTCTTTATTTTTAGGTATATTAAATTAATAACATTCCGGCTATTTGTTGCCAAAATAGATCGAGTTAAATGAGAAATGGCGAGAAGAGGTTCACAACCTCATTTTCCGATTAAGATTCTTGCATGGAAAAATTATTTTTATCGCAAATTCGATGTTTTTTTTTCTTAAAAAGGACTTCAATTTTTTATTAGTTTTTTTTGTTTGCTGTCACATACCGAAGACAAATAGTGGATCATATCGTGCGTCACCCTGTACATGTATTTATACATTTAGTTTTCAAGAGAAAAACTGTTTATACAAATTGACAAGAAACTATATGGAACACATTTAATTTATAGTAGGTCATAAAAATAGTTCAATCCTTGACCTAGTTCCCAAATAGAGATCCCTGTACCTAATTCATTTGCAAGATCCAATCGATGCTTAATCGAATATAACGTAGGATAAAAGACATAACCATTGCCCATAGCTAGCCTGAAAGGTATAAAACAAATAACATTTAATATATTGTTTACAAACATACACACATAAGCAAATATACAATAAAATTAATAAGTAAAAAGAATTATCTCACTTTGACTCGAAGAAATGCTCTTTGCTCTTGTCGTCCCATTGAATCTTCCCTTTGAATAACTTGAGTATCTCCAAATATTCTGATGCAAGAATCGCTCTACCGCCATCTGGTGTATAATTGTAACCGTAGAAATTGATACCCAATAAAATTTGAGACCGTTTAGGATCGCCTTTCTTTGGAACTAATAGCTCCACACATTGTCTAGCCCAATCAATGGGGCTGTTTGGTCCTGGCCTCTGAATACTTGAATAATCATAAGTCATAAGCGAAAAGGCTTTCATATACGGTGCCAGTTCGTCGAACTGTTGCTTTGAAAATAATTCAACCTGTGAGCTGTGGGAAAATTGAACATATTAAAATGAAGTTTTTACACGCAATATATCATAGTTCAAAGTGACGAATAATAATTTACCCTCTAGACGGTGGTACAGCTAATATAACATCCACATTATTTTTCTTTAGCTTATGCGCAATAGATCTGACTATTGAAGTAACAACTGGCAAATTTGCACCTGCAAATATGAACTGGTTCCATATTTCTAAAACGTATCCGTTGAAATGAAAGGTCTGCGAATGTAAAGTTTAAATGTGCACAGTTTTAGTGAAAAACACACAATAATATTTATGGAAGGGTTAATTTAAAATTATACCTGAGCAGCATCCAAGAGAGTTACTATCAACTGAGCTTGGCTCTCCGTATTACTGTACAATCGAATAATATCATCCATAGACCAATGTTCGAATAATATTCTGGGTATAACTAAAAATATGAAGACATCAGCGCATATTACAATGATTATGTCTGAATTATCTGTAACTTACGTTTCACGCTATGATTAGCATTATTATTGGATCTCATTTCTTTTATCCACCTGGTCTGAACAGCGTCAGTGGACAACTGATAGGTAGACATATTGCCAAAAGGAAGCGACAACCACACTGGTGACACCATGGTGAACTTGCCATGGAATATTTTCGAGATCTCAAATCCATATCCATTCCACTGAAATCCAAGTTACACTTAATACCGATATATCTTCGTTTAATCCTATTTCATTTTTAATCCATACAGCTAAATGATGATATTGCTAACAGGTGTAACATATCCTAGAACATCGGCCTTGAATCTTCTGTATTTTGTATCTCGGAAGTATCCGCCAGATTCGTAAAGTATATCCTGCTGCTTGGGATTCTCCACCACCAAATTTCTCTGGAAAACATCTTGATCCACAGGACCTTTGTGCAACTGCAAAAAGATACACAACCATATATATGAAATAAAAATTACATGTATACATAGATTTATTCACACATGCGATACTCTTTGATTTCTACCTTACTGTTAGTCTTCCCCTTGCCTTTTCTACTCTTTCCTGTACGTGGTGATATAGTGCCGGTGCATAATCCCACCAAACATAATATCCCAATTAAAATAACGGCATTCATAATAATTATTCGAGATCACTGGGATCGCCAGACGTATGAAACCATATTTGAAACGTTCGGGACGATTTCGTACCTCAGTTGCTCCGACGTAGGATTGATCGTTGCGTGGCTACCTGCGAAATTTCAACGGATCGGAAAATCAGCAGCAATTCGCACCCACGAGCGGTATCGTCATAATTTTCCCAAACGATACTCCGGACACCAACCACTTTGAGACGCTTTGACAGGCTGCGCGCTCGATGTGAATCCTGTCGTTATTCGTATGAAGCAAGGCCAATATTTACCATCGGCGGCACAAGTAGAGAGCGACGCGCCAAGATCTGTCGCGGTTTCAAGCACCCGGCGGCTCCCACCGAGAAACAACACGTCGTCACGGACACTCAGGTGCGGCGCACCGCGCGTAACGTTTACACGAGTCGTCACCTTTGCCGTGAGGGTTCGCGGATTGATATCCAGAAGTGCTGCTATCGTGTCCGAGGAGGACGACCAACGTCGCTCGGTTGAGGAACGGAAGCTCATCAGGGGAATCGTACATGCTCCTCGTGATGCCGTTTGAGCGAGCACCGACGCGTCGCTCGTGCGACAAATGATCCGACGATGATCGGGACGTTACACTCGAGAAGCGCAGTGTTTCTCGAGCTGGCGCGGAGAACGTCTTAACCTGATCCGAGCTTCGTCCACTTTCGAGAGAGTTACAAGTAGGTTTGCTGTCTCCTTGGTGCGCACTGCCAACGCGTATCCAGGCTCGCAGGTTCCGAACACCTCGCATCCGAATTCGTCGCTTGTCGGCTACGTGTTTATCATTCATCAAATTTATTTCGGCGATTACGGGGAAAAAGGGGGGCCTCCTTTGGGTTGAATTCGACGGTGGTGTTCGGCGTCACGCGATGCTTGCGATACTTGCGTGAAAGTTAAAATTTTCGCTCTAATTACATGTAATTACGGCCGATATGCGGTGGATGCGATAGATTTCCTAACCTATCTTAAAGAAATTTTCAGCCTTTCAGGGCCTTCGACAGGCACGTTTGAACGTGATGCAATGCATAACTACGTGTAATTATATATAATTATAATATGCATGAGTGATTATATGTATATAGTTAAGGGCTGTGTTCGTCGGGCGAGCGATACATTTCCTAACTTTGCCGAGTTCTCGCGGATACAAACTGTAATATTAATTTCTACATACTTGGACCGTCATTAAACAACGTGAATCTTATGTTAATTATCAAAAAAGTGCGTGACTTTTATTCATAACATGTTCAGTACATTATTCATAACATATTTAAGTTAGATAAGATAAGTATACAAAACCATTTGTGCAAACCTGCCAATGGCTAAAAAAGAACGAAAGCATTTGAGAACACACAAGGTCTCATTTTTGGTACTGATTAATATTTTGTCAAATATTGTGGTAATTTTCCAATCACTCATCAATCGGGGAGAGAATATTGATCAGCTTTCGATCCAACTGTGCTTTCATCATTCCAAGTAAAAATTACATATTATCAAAGTTTTCAAACTGCTCACAGTCGATGTATTAAATTTCAAGTATCTCATCGACGATTGTAGAGAAGAAGATTGAGTAACGATAGCATTATCTGCTTTGTTTTTTCAGTTGCCGCAAGAAATATGATGTCCAACGGTGTTCAAAGTTCAACTAGTCAGATCAAAGACAGTTCCATGGTGAATAATGTACATCACAGCTTGACCTCGTCGTCGTCGGCCCTGAATTCTCCACTGATGAAACTGTCTTCATACATTCTGGCACTGCGACCATGGTCGTTAAGTGCGTCGTTAATGCCGACGCTTCTTGGATCGGCTCTTGCGTATCGAATGACAGGCCTAGTGAGCTTCAATTGGCTGTCGCTGATCCTCACCGTGTACACGGTAGTCTGCGTGCATTGCGCAGGTAACGTTGTGAACACGTACTTTGATTATATAAAAGGCGTGGACAGCCGGAAGAGCGACGACAGAATATTGGTAGACCAGTTATTGTCGAAGGACGAATTAGTCTCGCTCGGTGCGATTCTGTACGCGGCCGGCTGTTTCGGATTCATCGGACTGGTGCTCATCTCGCCCGCGAAGATGGAGCACTTGGCCCTCGTGTATTTCGGCGGATTATCCTCGTCGTTTCTCTACACGGGTGGCATAGGACTAAAATATATCGCTCTGGGCGATGTACTTATTTTAGTTATATTCGGCCCGATCTCGGTATTGTTCGCGTTCATGGCACAAACCGGTTACGCCGAACTAGGAACGATATATTACGCGATACCGCTTGCGCTAAACACCGAAGCTATTTTGCATAGTAATAACACAAGGGACACGGAGAGTGACAGGAGAGCAGGAATCGTAACATTGGCGATACTCATAGGTCACACCGCGTCTCATGTTTTGTACGCCTTTTTACTGTTCACACCGTACATAACATTCATAGTACTGGCGTTAAGATATTCCGTATGGTTTTTACTGCCGGTTATCACTCTGCCAGCCGCCTTTAAGATAGAGAAGGACTTTCGTAACCCGAATAGAATTCAAAATGTGCCTAGACGGACAGCCAGATTGAACATGTATCTAGGTATTTTGTACGTTGTCGCTTGCCTACTCGTGGGCTCACTTCCTTATCTGTAAATAATTTGTACTTTTTATTAAAACTTTGTATTATGTGTCGCTGGTAAGAAATTGGAATACTCAATTATATATATATATATATATATGTATGTATGTATGTATGTATATATATCGGCAGCTGTTGTTAATTGACAAATTTTTGTAATTTCGTCTGATCCCCGCATCTTGTGCGGCTCGTGGACGCGATCATTTTCAAATTTATATTCGACACGAAACTGAACACGTTATTGTAACGTGACTGTCGACTGCTGCTACTACTGTGGTCACCGACAACTAATATTGTATTCAATACTGACGTCTCATTAATTAACGTATCAGCCTTCTCTAATTTGTACGCTGGGTTTCAAAGCGGTATTAAAGTATTCTTTTTCGAAGCAGTATGGAGAACGCAGCCGATAATTCGGTGAAAGAGTTTAACGTGGAAATTCATCGTCAGGAACAAGTTCTCTCATTAGACCATCGCTTGCGTTCCGCAGTGCGTGGAAAAAAAGAAGTGTTCAAGCCATCTTGAAATCCAGCGTACCTATTAAATCTTTGAATATCGATTACCCAAATCTATTTTCATATCTGACCTTCATTTTCAGCTGAATTTTTAATGAATCACTTTAGACGTTAAATTAAATCTGATATAACTTTGTGTATATATTTCTTTAAATGTATATACAATAAATATTTTCACAGACACTCTTACTTATTATTTATATGTGTATAAACGTAATTTAGTAATATTATAATTCATAAACTTCAGTAACATTTTGGGTATTACAATGTTATGTATGAAACTATACATATGTGCGTTATATACTGATAGTACGGTATGTTTTCACGAAGAGAGTTTGATCTTAGTTATTTTATCATTATTATTATTTGTATTTTTTTTCTTATAAACTTCATTGCTTTTTCAAGAAGCAGTTCAAGCGTTAACATCGATGTTGTAATATATCTTTATCTAACACAGCCGTTAAGCTATCTTGTAGAATAATTCTAATTTCACGTTTTTATCTTTAAGCGCTGTAAGAGGCTTGTGAAATATTTATTTTTCAAGGCTTTGCCTATCCCGGGCAGTTCGGACTAGTTTTCTGACGTTATAAGCGAGGAATAACATATATTTCTTTTGCAACATAAATATTTATTTTTTAATTTCCCGTGAAAGTCGATAATAATTTCGCAATCCTGAACCTTGTAAAATATGCGGCAAACTATAGCATTTGCCCGATATGTCATGCAGAATTGCAAAATAATTCTTGAAATATTGGATTATTTTGCAAACGTCTCAGCTGTCACAGCTGTCCAAATATTTCAGATATTTTCCGATTCCACGTGACATATTAGACAACTCAATTTGACGCATATTTTGCAAGTTTCAGGATATTACGACACTATTCTTATTCATTTTTATATAATTTTCAAAGAAAATTGGAAAATAAGTTATTTCTCGCCTATGATGTAAACCAACATGACTGCCGAGAGATAGCTGAGTCTTAGGGATTCAAATTTTAGACAGAAATCAAATATAACGGAGCTATATAGATTGAACGTAGTTCAGTCGCATCTCAGTTAAACGTTATAAGATATAAAAGTATTTTATGCAAAGATATATCTTACGTAGCAAGATGCAGAATTTTGAGTATTAGAATCTCACGAATACCTTATTTAAAAACATTCACTATTTGATATCATTACGTATAAAAGTAATCGTACGCAAAAAACAATTATATAAAAACAGAATATCATGTTACATATGGAATTTGTATTATATTCTGTATATAACTTTGTATTATAGAATTTCTCGTTTAAATCTTGGTTTGTTGATGCACATGACCTTATTATATCCTATATCGAATATCTCTCTTTGAGCATCCACCCTTAGGACTAAATGTACTTTGCACGCGTTATGTACAATAAAATTGTCATATCAAGAATAAGCATATGCATGTATAAAAAATATCAAAGAAAGATATACGAATATAGGTGGAATTATAACAAATAATCCCGTATTTTTACCTAGCGAACTAATGATTTTGGAAAATATAATTGATTGTTCTTCGGTATTTTTTATTCCTGAGAAATTCTCCTCCCTCTATAGGAACTCAACTGTCAATGTACAATATCGAATGACAATACACCTTAAAGTTTATGGAGAAATCTTTTGTTAAAAATATATATATATATTTTCCGTATATATGATGTGACGCTATGACTTATACATTGTACAACAAAAACAATTGCGTTATGAAAGAAAGGAAAAAAAAATAAACTAACAAGAGACTATGTGTTTACGTTTGTAAGATATATTAATTTACAAATATTTCAATAAATAATCCCGTAGCATTTTTACAACACTTCTTTGATTCATTTATAGACCTCAGATGAGACATAGCTATCGAGATTTGTAAAACGAAAAATAACGACTTACGATCTTTGCCACAATACGCATGCTACACGCATACGTGAGGTTAAACATTAAAATTCCCTACACGGTCGAAAATGAAGAAAAACTCACTCGCCTACACGTTTATCTCCATTTCATCAAGCAAGGCATCTCTCACTTTTTTTTCCAACAACGAATTCTGCAAACGCTGTGTTTGCAAACGCTCCTCTATACACCTGGATGTCAAGTGTACTTCCATAACTTGATTCCTAGTAATTTCGCAGAATTTCGTCAATGGCTCAAATTCCTCGTCCAACGCGCTCTCGTTCAAACTATTGTACGATCCGTCGTGTCTCAGCCTCTTCTTCGCTGCTCCGCCGTCCGACAGATCGCTGTCGCTCGAATTCAATTCACGTGACATGAATTCCGTCAGTACATTGGATTTGAACCACCATGGCAACGTTCGGAAATGCTTGATGTGATTCTTGTTGTAAATGACCATCTGGTCTTCGTCCAGGAGGCTTACCTTCTCCTTGATCACGTGTAACAATACTTGCACAAAGTTGGACACTTGCAAACTATCTGACGTGAGGGAGAAGTTGCTGAAGATGTCGCAGAGCACGATATTACAATTAGCGTCAGACAGCACCTCCGAACAGTAATTCATAATGCGCCGTCGTAGATCTTGCACGTCTGCTATTGGCCACGGCGCGCTGAAACAGGCGATAACCAACATGAATATTGAAGTATCAAAATTAACTAATATTTAATTAGGCGATGGAACGCGCACGCGAATATATTGTTTTTTTACTTCGTATTATCGAACATTATATGGATGGTTTAAGCCATCAATCGTTTCTGCACGCTGGCTAATGAATTTTCTGATTATACTGTTTCCCTTAATGTCTGAAAGTATGTTTAAAAATAAATCAAGTTCACGATAATAACTTGTAGAAACGTAGATATTTTCCTTTTTTATGTCCTCATCGTCACTTTATGTACTTTTTGTTTCTATCTTTTTCTTTTTGTTTTATGTAAAAGAGGGAATAATTTCTCCCCGTTTATGGTATACATAAATAAATAAAATAAATATTAACGAGGTTAATCACAGCAACGCGAACGGGGCACTTACTTCCATGGCGGCAACACGAAGCTATTCATCGTCGCCTCTAATTTCGCTCTATATTCGGCTCGTTTCCACGACTCGTTGAAATATTCATAGCCGCACGGCATGATATGATCAGTTCTGAGGAACTGTTTGAACTCGGGCGCGAAACTGGTGTACAACGTGGACTCGGGGTCCAGGATGATGTCCATCAGGTGATTCACCGCCTCGTTGTGCAGGTCAATTATGAAATTAGGGTCCTTCAATGCGCTCGACAGTTGCTTATTGAACATGGCATCGCCCAATATCCTGAAAGACGACGAATAACGAAGACAGGAATGCGGTTATTCGAAGTACGAAGATATGTCAGAACGCAGAGAAAGAAAAAAAAAGGGAAAAACACTACCTCAACCACAACTCCTCCGACAAACAAATGTCGTAAACATTGTGCAGATAGTCCATCTCGAGCGGGTTCATCGGCGACTTGTTCATCGTCAGCCACAGCACCGCGCTCTGCGTCAAATTGAGAATTACCCTCGCGGTCAGATTCCCCTCGAACATGATCGTGTACTCGGACACGTAGCCGGACTCCAGTAGAGACTCCAGTTCTGCGACGATGCTCTCGTTCTGGTGCTCCAGCTGGCCGTTGCCCAGGACGATGAAAGTGAGCGGTATCGGCATCAGCTTGTGCCTCGACAGCACGGTCTTCGTCAGACGCTTGGCAACGGACACGCAGTCCTCCGTGGCATCGGCGATGAAGAGGAACGCGTCAGCGCCGACGAGGCTCGGCTCGCTGACGAAGCCCTCGAAGTGCCTCACGCAAACGTGCAGGGCCTCGTACGGGTTCGGCATGTAGACCTTCACGATGGGCTCCGTCGTGAAGTCCCCGGGATGCAGGTACTCGTTCATCACCTTCTTGTAGCGCCACAGGACTGGCTTGTTGCCGAGGTCCGGCCAGGAGATCGCGAGCTTCCAGAACACGCACGGCAAAGGATTGACGTCCAGCAGACGCGAATTCTCCCTGATGCCGGCGCGCACGATGAACTCGAGCGGTGCGAGCTTTTCCGCGCCGTCCGGCTGCTCCTCCTCCTCCTCCTCCCGTCGCTCGAGTCGTCTCTTGCGCATGTTACGAATCACCAGGTCCCGCTCCTTGGAATACAGCATCCTCGCGCACTCCTCCAGCGACTGCCTCTGCAGCCAGACCGGCGTGTCCTCCAGCGCCAGCCTCTGCCGCCTCCTCTTCAAGGTGTACCGCCTCCAAGCGTCGAAGCACTTGGCCATCATCTGGCACTTCACCCTGAGCAATATCGCCTGCAGCCTGCGCTGATTCGCGACCTCCGTCGTGAGGATCGCGTCGCACATCTCGCGCGTCACCTCGCCTATCACATCGCCGGCGATCCTCTCGCACGACGCGTAGCACCTCTTCAACCTGTCAGCGTCCGCCTTCGCGATGGCGCAGCAGAATTCCCGCGTCACCTCCGCGTGCAGACTCTCATAGACCTCACCCGACCGCTCGTCGATCTGTCGCATCCTCCTCGCATGTTCCTGCTTCTCCCCCCTCGCTTTCTCGGCCCCCGACATCGCCTCCTTCCGCACGGCTACCTTCTTCTTGTGGAAGACGTCAGGCGTCGCCGGTGCTGTCGCTTTGCTGTTCGTCGCGGGGACCACTAGGAGGCCGGTAGGAAGGCGATTACCGGCGGCCACCGTCGAGGGAGACGCGACGCTCTTCATGAATATATTCCCCGTCGCCGTGCCGGAGAAGATGCTTTTGTTCACCGCCATGGCGAACGGCGAGGCGACGTTGCTTTCGACATTGCGCGACGTTTCCGTTTGCTTGGAGAACACGACGCCGTTGTTGTCGGTGGCGAATGCGCTGTTAATCAGAACGTTGCTGCTACCGAAGACAGCCGAGTGCTTGCTGGCGTTTTCGCGGCGATGCGCCGCGTCAACAACGCATTCCTCGTCCGGCTGCTTATCGGCGACCGGCCTCGACATCATTGCCGACGGTTTGCCCTCGGGGATGATCTTGTGGCCGGCGGACACATCCGGCTCGGGTGTCGTCGACACCTTAACGACGTTCGAGCTGACCGACTCGGAGACTGGTGCGGGCTTCGACTCGTTGCTCGTCGGCTGCTTCTTCACGTGCACGGGACTGCTGGTCGCCTGATCTCCGTCCCGCGCCGGCTTCGGCAACCTCTTCGCGGCGTCCCTCTCCGTCGACTCGGCCGGACCGAGTTGGGCGGCATCCGGGTTTTGATCCGCGGCGTTGATGGATTCGGGCATCAGATTGCCGTGTGCGTCGAAGCTGTTGTGCGGCTTGTGATTGTTGTACGTCTGCCCCGGCATCTTGCCGCCGGCGATGCACTTGCCGATGCTGAAGCCGAGGCCAGTCCTCTTGGACTCTATCAGATCGTAAGGTCTGCGCTGTCGTATATTCGCCCCCGGCATGCTGAAGTTCTGGCGATTCAGCATGACGTGCAGGCCGTCGTCCGACAGGTTCAGGCCCACCTGCTCGCAGAAGCAGGTGACCTCGTTCTCCTCCTCGAAGCCGAGGATGTCGATCAGTTCGTACAATGGAAAGGCGAAGGTCGAGGTGGTCCTGCAGTACGCCTTCACCATCACCGAGAAGGCCTTCACTCTGACTTGGTTGAAGTATCTCAGCAAGATACAGGCGTTCATGTAGGTCGTCTGCCGGACGAGCTTGAAGAACTTGTAGTAGTTGTTCGAGTCGAGCGCGAAGTACACTTTGGTGGCAAACTGAACCTCCGGCGAGTCCTGCACGGACTTGGGCAGCTGCCGCAGGTCGTACAGGAAGTTACCGTTGTTCAGGTTGAGCAGAACGACGTAGGCGCGGAACTCGGGCTCGTTCGCGCACGTGACGCCTTTGGCTCGCAAATCCTGGTACATGTACTTCAACGTCTGCAGGCACTTGGTCAGATTCTCCGAGTTGATCTTCTTGTCGAACACGGACGCGTCCTCCGCGCAGAGTCTCTCCGAGCAGACGATGTGAAACCTGGCGCACTGCTCGATCAGCTCGACGCTGTCCTCGCAGCAGAGCTCCTGCTGCGTGATGTCCTTGCGGATCCCCCTCGTCCTGTCCCAGAGGAAGTGATACCATTCCGCCAGGTTCGTGTCCTCCTGATCACAAAGATCCACTATCTCATGGAGCAGGTAGCTCATGGTCATCTTCAAGGACCTCACCGGCCGTAACTCGTGCGACATCGGCTCTTCCTGATCCGCCGACGACCTCGAATACTGCTTTATGGCAGCTGCGTGATTTATCCTGTACTCGTTACCCTCGAGCAGCTCGTACGACGCGACTTGCCTCTGCGACTCGCGCATGAGACGCTCTTTCTCCGGGCACATGTCGGGGCAGGTGCCGTTGGTAGTTTTCGCGGTCGCCAGCGAGGCCGGCTTGACCCGCTTCAACCTCATGAGGCGGTCTCGGGCTTCCAACACCTTGTACTTGTCCTCGGCCGTCAGGGCGACCTGATGAATGATATTCTGCAATTCCTCGACGGGTGTGTTGGGCAGAAGATTGGTGATCTGACTCTCGGTCTCGTGCTTCTCTATTTTCCCAGCGGAAGCAGCAGAAGCGCCGGCAACTTTCTCCACCTTCGACGTCGACTTCTCCTGCGGCAATTTCTCCGCTTTCCCCGCTCTAGTTCGTGCTGGCAATAACACATCGACGTCGGACATCTCAGCCACCATGCTGGAGTGCAAGTTGTACCCCAGATTCGCTAAGGCTTCTAATTCAGATATAACTTCTTCGTCGTCGGTTGTCTTGAGCAAACTCGTCACCGAGTTCTTGTCCTTCTTTCTAACCGGTGACTTCACAAGCGACTCCGCTTTCGCCCATTCCACGTGAAACGTCTCGTTCTTGTAATCACCGCTGCTATAGTACGCAGTGTTCGCCTCGTCCTTTGTCACGTATGTCACTGTGATCACGTGTCTCTTCGGCCGGATGTTTATCTTCACGGTACGTCCGAAATTCGTAAAGTATTCCTTAGCTGCTTGTTTGGTCAGCAGAGCTTTAGGAACGTCGGAACATGTTATCGTATTCTCTAGCTTGATCTGCCCAGCAGCCGATCTTGTGTTCTTCTTCAGTCGTTCGAACGCTTCCGTTTCCTTCAGGGCATTGGCAAACACATTGATCGGTGGTTTGTACAGAGATCTGGGCATTTTTGGTCGGTGCCTGCTGCGACTGTCAGCTTGGGCGCCCGCACGATTACCAGTTTGCGGATTTGCACGAGGGTGATTATACTGAGATACTATTGTAGGCTTGGCGAAGGTAAATACCTTCTTCCGGGAGGAATGTGCGTCAAAGGCATGATCCGACAATGTGCCGGAATGAATAACTCTCGGTATGGAGAATACAAAATTAGAGTCGTTCGGTTCCAGCTCGTCGATTTCCATGGTGGTGTCTGTTGCGTCCATTTTGCCCCGGGAATCCGTATCTTCCCCTGCAAAGAACGAAAGGTAAATATTTGCCGCCTGTAGACCCGACTACGGATTTCAACGGGTATGACGAAAAGTATCGGACAATCGTAAGGGTTTTGGTTTTTCTCCTAATTGTTACGACGAGATGTTTCGAAGATATCAAATATCGAAGTATACAGTAAGATTCGCGTCCTAAACTCACTCATTATCCAAAAAAATAGGAACGTAAGTATGCATCCTTACCACTGAGCAGAATTTCACAAATATCCCCAAAATCGTGTCCTTCGGTTAACGTCAGCAATAATAATTGCGAATACAACCGTTATTGACTTACTGACCGAGACAGCAGAGAAAACTATCCTAACCTAACTCGTCTAGCTGAATAATGGCGCTTCGAAAATAATAAGGATTTTCATTGCGTCGCGCGCACAGCGACACTCGAGAACTAGGGGAATTAATTTTCTAAGGGCGAGTCGTGTCGTTCTCTAAAGTCCCTAGAGAAGGGGGAAAAACGAGGTCGGGACGTCACGTTCGCAACGTTCCATCTTCACGAGAACGAACGGATTCTGCCCATCTCTTTCTCTCTCTCTTTCTTTCGCAGTCGTCCATCGTCGGCGAGTTACGGTCGGAACATTGGGGTTGGGATCGCGATCCTCCAGGACGGGGAAAAAATATCCTGTGACGCAATTCGAACGTCGCGCGCGCGCGCATTGTCCCCCGCGATCGTCGGCGTGGTGAGTGAAAAAAAAAAAAGTACCATCGGGCGAGGAAATCGCAGCGGTGGACACGACCGACGGCTGCTTACCGTGCTTGACCTTTTTTTTATGTAAAAACCGCTGGCAACTGGTCGCGATCATCTCGCGATGTCCGTAGTGGCCACGAACGTGCGATTGTTATCGTTTCACCGGCAGCAGCAGCAACGACGACGACGACTCGATACCGCGGCACCGGCAGCGAGCAAGATGGCGATCGCATCAAGAGTCGCGCTCCGCTCAGCTCTCGGCGGATAATGACGTCGCGACGGCGTTGGCCGGCTGGCAAATCGACTACGTATCGACGACGCAAATTACGCCCGAGATGTACGCCCGATGACGAGCCCGAGTGCGATTATAATGCGCGTGAAATAACGAACGCGGTGCCCCATCGGTGGCATCAGCCAAGGAAGTGCAGCCACTGCGAGACGCGCCTGCCGCAGATTCGTCGGCCATCGCCGAATCCGGTTCGCTCCCCCTCAAGTTTGAATTCCGTAACGGTCGTACCCCAGTAAGTGTCAAAAGCGTTTCTTTGAACCCGTGTGCTGTCGAAAGTTCGAGCCGCCGGTGTGATCTCTCTTTCTCTCGCTTCCTCTCTTTCTCTCTTTCTCCCTCTCACTGTGTCTGTCTCCCTTTCTCTCATTCTATTTCCCTCTCCCTGTGAATGAGCGATGTGTATACGACACTTCTCTACGGTGAGCAGCCGCGCCATCCCGACGTCGGCAACGACGGACGTCACGAGAAATCGCGCACGTAGGCAGTGAGAAAATCCAGTTCGCCTTAGTTATCCACCCACCTCGCCCTAACCTTCTGCGTGTTTACGCTCCGCTCCGCTCTTCTCCGCGTCGCGCACCGCTCTACACGGGTATCGCGCTAATTGAACGCTTGTCGTTTGTATTAACGTCGCGCTGATGACAGGTCCACCCGATCGGTACCTACTGCGCCATACACCCACAACTGGATCACGATGGAGGACGCGAACGATGTCTTGGTTAGCGCGGCCGAATTCATAAAAGGTAAATTCCACTAGCGGATTGGAGTCTATTTTTAATAACTACAGGACGATACGGACCTTCTGTGTAACTGGGCTTTCCATTAATAAGATTGTGAAACTCGTTCATTTCAATATTAATGTGTGTCAGTTGAGATTGAAAGGATTTATGAGAGATGAAATCTCTCTCTGATATATCACGATGGGAAATAAATCATTCTTCTTACAGATCGCTTGTACTTTGTAACACTAAGAACAACGATGAAACCAAAAAGTACTCCGAACACTCACTATTTCTGTATCGACAATGAGTTGGTGTATGAAAATTTTTACGCTGATTTCGGCCCCTTAAATCTAGCCATGCTGTACAGATACTGCCAAAAGGTTAACAAGAAATTAAAGGGTATCGCACTCAGCAAGAAGAAACTCGTGCATTACACAACGCTGGATTCGGAAAAGAGAGTGAACGCTGCGTTTCTCATTGGATGTTACGCGGTAAAAAATCCTTTCTCTGTCATGTAATAAATATATTCATACACATACATATATACATATATTGTGTTAAAATTTGGGAAGATGTCATTCACTCAAAGACAGTAATTCCATTTTACATGTTTCAGATATTGTACTGCAAACGTACGGCGCAGGAAGTTTACGAGTGTTTGACTAAGAGCCCGAATAATCCTGGATTCATTATGTTCCGTGATGCCTCCATTGGACCACCATGTTACCAGATATCATTAAGCGATTGTCTAAGTGCTATATACAAGTGCCATCAACTTGGTTTCTTTAATTTTGAGGATTTCTGCGTGAAAGAGTACGAGCATTTTGAAAGGGTCGAGAACGGAGACCTAAATTGGATCGTACCCGGGAAATTCATTGCTTTCTGTGGTCCGCACGCAAGATCTAAAGTCGAAGATGGTACGTATTGTTCTTTGTGTGTGAGCTTTTTCTTATCATTGCTGGGAGTATGCGCTGCTGGATTATATAATTCGGTGTTCGCCATTTTCCACAGGTTATCCACTGCACGGTCCGGAGTCGTACTTCACGTATTTCCGCCGTAACAACGTAACGACGATCGTACGGCTCAACAAGAAGATCTATGACGCCGCGAGCTTCACCGACGCGGGCTTCAATCACAAAGATTTATTTTTCGTGGACGGCTCCACGCCGACGGACTCGATAATGCATCAGTTCCTTAAAATATCGGAAAACGCGAGCGGCGCGGTCGCCGTGCATTGTAAAGCGGGTCTCGGGAGAACCGGCTCACTGATTGGTTGCTATATTATGAAGCATTACCATTTGACAGCTCATGAAACGATCGCTTGGATAAGGATATGTAGGCCAGGCTCTGTCATCGGACACCAGCAACAATGGCTGGAAAAGTGAGTGTATGCGCGCGCGCGCGCGCAATTAGCTTGCGCTGCGCAGCCCGAGGGATTACCGAATGCATTCTAAACGAAGTAACGTCGCTGTGCATTTCAGAAAAGAGGCGTATCTTCGTTCACTGCTGAAGGATCCGTTGCAGCCCGTAAATGGAAACCCCGAGTATGGAATATACTCGATAATTAGCAAACCCAGAACGGCTTCCTGGGGTAATATGAAAAGTCTCGTGGAGGACAACGTGTCGGGGATAATGCATCGTGTGGACGGAATAAAATTGGATGACCCAGCCCCGGTAGCCGGAGCCAGTGCGACGACCAGATACAGCACACTGACTCAGGGTGACAAATTGTGCAGGATTAAAGCTAAGAGAAGAGGCATACCGACGGCCCAGACCTCTCTCAGTACATCCACAGGGACGTCCGCTGTCGTACAGTAAGTGTGTCCCCGGAGTTCCTCCGTGCCTGACGAAGCCTTTCTGAATGTAAACTAATGCCTGTTAATATGTTAGGGGCTTGCAAAAGTTCGTCGGATTTTTTGCCATATTTCTTTTATTAATAATAACGAAACAATATGTGCCGTATTCGGTCAAAGTATCCGCCATCGTAGTATTTATATACCACTTTCTGGCCGTCTTTCAGGTAATTGTCCGACGTCTCCGCGCTCTCTGTTTGCAAAGCGATCCTCATCCTCCGCGCCATTTGAGAAATCGACAATCCGACGAACTTTTATATATTTACGTGTACATATTTATGTATTATACTTACAGCCCTTATTTGGGACCTTTATTGCAAACCAGGAGTCAAAAGGGAACGATTGCCGTTCTAGCGGGAAATAAAGAGAGAGATCCTACCAAGAGGCTCCTATCACGAGCTACTGCGACAGCAGTTGTGAAAAGGTCAGATGGTCTTCTCCTTTATATACTTCTTATTAATTTTTAAAGGAATAAATCTATTGATTTCTATCCTCAAGTCGCCTCGTTTAACGCTCCCGTAACATTCTATCTGCCACACACTTTTCCAATTATTCTATTATTTAACATATTTCTCCGTAATACATTTACTCTTTCTCTCTCTATCTATCTATCTATAGGTTACGCTTACTGCACCTGATACATGCTTCCGATTAAAAGATTCAATGAAATGATTACTTATTAACCGACATTTGTATTACCTATAATTGCATGCATCGAGCGACATATAGAGTTTCTCTTTATCTTGACTGGAAATTGTAGAAACAGTTGGTTGGTCGGCAGTAGCTGTGATCCATCTTCCTGCCGTATTAGGTCTAAGCCAGCAACACAGAGCCATAATATCAACAACAATACAACCACCACTACTCCCGTTACATCTTTAACCGTATCAAAGCCAGTGAGAAGGGCGAAACGTACTTCCTGCATGGCACAGGCCCATACTACAAACTCGTCCGCAAATCATTCGGTACCGCAGCCACAGCAAGGCATGAATATGATCCTCAGGTCGGCAGACCGAATTACCCGCTATTCACTCAGGCAGTAAGTCAATAACTGTCCCTTTCGAATTTGGGTCGAAATTTACAATTTATGCGGTTTGGAGAAAGTGCTTGTTTTTGATAAACGTATGAGAAGAGCTTTGACGGTTTGATCACCTGATTCCCAGAGCTTCTAACACTCAGCATTGTTCTGTAATAATCATGATACTATACGCTATCATTTCTCTCGTCTACGCTACTGTCTGTATTTTCATCTTTCGCCATCAATCTCTCTCACACCATATACACACCATGCACTACTCACCCACACACATAGAGAAGATAAAGAATAATCGATTAAAATTTACAGATTTATAATGGTTAACAGATGAGTCTTTACAATTATTCCGTACGACTTGATCATTTTGCATATTGTGGTGTGTGTGTATAAAATATATAAACATATATAGCTTTTTTATATTTATATAGCTTTAAACTCTGATGTTTATTTTGTACTGATTTAAAAAAAAAGAAAAGAAAAAAATACATATAAGTTGCAGATAATATATCAACGTAAAGTGTCAAATTTTTCAACTGTTGTGTGATTTTGATCAATTGATATCGCATGTGGCATGACTCCGTGAGTTTTGTCTTTGTTCAAAGCATGCAGTACATGCTAAAAGAAAAAAGAAAAAAAGAAAAAAAACTTGACCTGGGCCTGGGCAAATAACAGTTGAACAGAAACGTGTTGACGGTTTTAATGTTCATTATAGTCCAGGCCTCAGAATAATATTACGCTACATTTAGTGCTTAAGCGATACGTAGCATCAGGGGTGGCTAACGAACCGATCCTATTTATTTTTGTGACTTGCAGTGCGCGCACAACAAAAAGTTATAAAAGTGCATTTATCAGATGACTAACCGATATTCCCAGTGGCGTTGGGGAGGACTGTCAGGTAACTGGAGCATCTCACCAGCGCCGAAGATCTCATCGCTTAAACCCCATCATTCAATAAAAGCACTTCACTGATCTCCAATCGATCCTCCTTCAACTTGAACAACTTTTGCCCAGGCTTTTTATCACCATCAACGAAGGTCAAACTGCATCTACAGTCATCAACATACATTTTAATATGGTTTGTCACACCTGGAGTCTGGATGGGAACCAACGCAACGCGGCGTGTCGCCGAAGAGTAACCAAGATTGGATGCAATTATAGCATCCAAGGCATTCTTTCTACCGTGATCGTCTAACGTCTTTCAATCCGCTTTCTTTCGTCTCCCTTTCGCAAATTTCCGAGCGCACCGCGTTTATTTCGCATCTCGTCCAGACTCTAGTCACATATCTATACATCATGGGATATGAAAATCTGTTGCAATAATACCTAATATATATATACATATATATATCCTATGCAGCTTTTAATTATTCTTCCATGCTAAAGTTCGATGCGTCATTGTGTCTGCAACAGGGAAATCAGACTTTCGTTAATATCATCTTTTTCATTCTAACATTTTGCTGGCCAGAAAAGAAGCATTACAAATGTGTACTTTTTTTCCAAATCATATTGATTTGCACATAATTTTGCATAGTGATGCGTTTTTAAATTTTGCTGAAGGGTTCATTTAACGCTCGTACGTGTATTTTTTTTCGAAGTATATACGTAAAATGTAAGTATGGACTTACATTTTGCGATGACACAGCCGAAAAAATACTTTTTCCTTCCTGTTTATACCTTTATCTGTTAGAGAGAAATTTTTCTGAGGAATTACGCTGATTACCTTCATTATTCCAAGAGAGTGATGAATAATGGTTTTCCTACCATCGCAGCCACAATAATTAATAGTAGAATTGTAAAGAATAGAGAATCCGTATGGGTTCGAATTTTGAAGGAATCGACTTTGACTCATCTTTTAGATGATTAAAGGGAAGTATAAGGATACAATTCAATGTAAGGCCTCAAAATTTAAATTTGTTACATCTTTTTTTTATTGTGATATTATGCAAGTTTTTATATATTTATATATAAGAAACTCTTATTGTTGCGAAAAGAATTATTGCGAATTGGAATTGGATAGTTAGCGAAAAAGATTTATTTAACATGATTATGGTATATAATAACGTGTAGGAATGTATATTAAAGGAGTATAAATGTTCCGGTCAGTTTAAAGCAATGTTAAAGACCTCGATACACTGTAATTTATGGCACCTGTTGAGAAAGTTATTTTTATTGCTTTGAACGTAGACAAATGCAGCAGGAAAAGAAACTTGCAAAGCCCAATACATATATACATACATACATACATACATACATATATANTGTGTGTGTGTGTGTGTGTGTGTGTATGTGTATGTGCAGTTTATACAACTAATGTAGCATACTTTGCAAGAGATGTTATTCGATGAAAAATATATCTCTCGCTAACCTCCATTAAAAATCATTAGAAATGTAGAGCATATTTGTACATTTTTTTATTTAATCGAAGTAACATAGGTTTGTAGATTTTACAAATGCGATGCGACTACGCATGAATTTGTTACTGCGCTAATTATATCATATACATATTATCCTTTAACAAATAATTGCAATCTTGATTGTAGTAACAATTTATTGAAGAGAAAATTTTAATATGTATCGAATGTATTCGGGTTACCTTCGGGTCTTTTTGTACATCAAGAAGAGTTCACTTGAATAATTTACAAGGACACGTCCGTGTCCTCACGGTTATTTCAGCATAAAACATATCAAGAGATGCGATGAAATGTAATAATAATGCAAATTGTGTACTGTATACATAAAAACTTCTCAGAATTGAGTTTTGAGAAAAAAATCAAATAAAATTTTAACATTTTACATTTAAAGAAGAAAACGAAATCAAGAGACCAGTAAATAATATTTCGTCATGTAATACAAATTGACCTGAAGGTGAAAACAACAGCATAATAAATATTCTGATGTAGTAATGTGTAAATTGTACATAGAAGTATAAGTCGATTATTTGGAATACCGTTAAGTACAACTAAGCTCTTAAAACTTAAAACTAAAACTAAGTTGTTACTCTTACGAGTACCCTGGCTTTTTGTACATATTAAGTTACTCTTTAACAGCTTTGAAGAAAAAAATTACACTTCTTGACACACTGATACATAACAGAATACATAGTACTTTAGTGCGTTGCTTTTACAAAGCAGTATTTTTATTTATATCTTACATCTACAAATATATATATATATCATTTATTTAATGATATATCAAAGTGCGCCAGTCGCTTATTAGATGTACAGTCATGAGATGTAATAATTGTAATATACAAATGAAGACAATTTATTTAAAAAAAAAAAAAAAAAAAAAAA